ATCCTGGCCAAAATGGTGAAATCCCATCTCTACAAAAGAAACAAAAATTAGTTGTGCGTGGTGGCATGTGCCTGTAGTCCTAGCTACTCGGGAGGCTGAGGCAGGAGAATAGCTTGAACCTGGGAGGCAAAGGTTTCAGTAAGCCGAGATCACACCACTGCACTCCAGCCTGGGTGACAGAGCAAGACTCTGTCTCAAAAAAAAAAAAAAAAAAAAGGATATTCATTTTAACAAATACCACAGAAAACTCTCTGGCCAGGGTTCACAGATCATGTTAATGAGAAACACTAATTTATTCATTCTTGCAACCATTATGTAGGTAGGCAGCATAGTTTTAAAGAGGTATGAGGATTTGCAGAATTGAGTCACTTTTCTAAGTTCGTAACAAGTCAGCAAATGAATTCTAAGAAGGCAGAAACAAATTCTAGTTTTAAAAAACAGGCTATTCTCACATGTAAGTTACACAAACACAAATTACCCCATCTATCATACGCTGGTCATAAATTCTTGGCCTTCATCTCATTCATAAAAACAAAGCCTAAACTTTTCTAACTCCATTCAAAAGAATGAATTACTCAAACCAAAATAAGAAATATTTGTTTAAAGAAACCACCAGGAGAGAAAAATGTAATCCTTGAAATAATTAAAGAAAATGGATTTCTTTAATTCTTTAAAGAATTAAAGAAATCTAAGCTCTAAAAGTACACTGTGTTGATAAAAGAGAAGTGAGCAGAAGTTGCTCTGAAGGGGTGAATATGTAAGGAAGATTTTCCTTCCAAAGTGATAAGAATGGGTGGATGTTTGAAGAGTAACTCCAGATGCCACTTGTTGACATGGCATTGCACCACAGACAACAGTGGAGTCGGCTGGTGGTAGTGGTATTGTGTGCATGAGAAGGTGATGAAATTAGACTCTGATTTGACTAACAATATATGCCAACTTTGACAAGTAAAACCAGCTGTTGATTGGCATTTGGAATTCAGCAAGGAGTGCTACCATCCACTCAATTTTTTTTTTTTTTTTTTTTTTGAGATGGAGTCTCGCTCTGTCGCCCAGGCTGGGGTGCAGTGGTGCAATCTCAGCTCACTGCAACCTCTGCCTCCTGGGTTCAAGCAATTCTCCTGCCTCAGCCTCCTGAGTAGCTGGGATTACAGGCGCATGCCCATGCCCAGCTAACTTTTTTATTTCTAGTAGAGACGGGGTTTCACCGTTAGCCAGGCTGGTCTCGAACTCCTAACCTCAAGTGATCTGCCTGTCTCGGCCTCCCAAAGTGCTGGGATTACAGGCATGAGGCACCATGCTCGGCCTCAAATGATATTTTAAAACTCTGCTTTGTTACAGAGAAAACCAATCTGTACTGTATTTGCCTTTTCATTTTATAAATTTCAGAAATCAGAGCTTTTGATACGATCCTGGGTAGCAGTCCACCTTTACAGAGACAGTACTTGCCTAGCTCAGAGTAGCAAGTAAACACATATTATATTGAAGATCCACCTTTATTTAAATTCCTGGTTAAACAGAAAACCAAATACTGCATGTTCTCAGTTTTTCTTTTTTTTTTTTTTGAGATGGAGTTTCACTCTTGTTACCCAGGCTGGAATGCAGTGGCACCATCTCAGCTCACCACAACCTCCACCTCCCAGGTTCAAGCAGTTATCCTGCCTCAACCTCCTGAATAGTTGCGATTACAGGCATGTACCACCACACCCCGCTAATTTTGTATTTTTGGTAGAGACGAAGTTTCTCCATGTTGGTCAGGCTGGTCTCGAACTCCTGGCCTCAGGTGATTCGCCCACTTCGGCCTTCCAAAGTGCTGGGATTATAGGCATGAGCCACTGCGCCTGGCCACATCCTCACTTACAAGTGGGAGCTAAACACTGAGTACACGTGGATACAAAGAAGGGAATGACAGATACTGGGGCCTATTGAGGGCGGAGGGAGAAGATTGAAAAAATACTTATTGGGTACTATACTTATTACCTGGGTGACAAAATAATCTGGACACCAGTCCCCATGACATGCAAGTTACTATGACAAATCTGCACAAGTACCCTTGAACCTAAAAGTTAAAAAAAAAACCTTTAATAAAAATAATGAATAAATAATAAATAAAATCCAGGTTAAACTCCAGAGCACTTACAAATGTCGAACTTATGTTGCCAATTTCTCGAGGTATTTTCTCTCTTCCTTTTACTTGCTGGTAACTCTTGCTTTTAGCTCAGCTTTTAAAGATGAATAGGGACTAGAGCAGTGCTGTCCAGTGAAAATACAATGCAACCACAAATGAGAGCCATGAATGTGACTTTAAACTTTCCAGTAGCCATGTTAGAAAAATAAAAGCAGGTGAAATTCTTTTAAATTACCATTTTAACATATAATCAGTATTTCAAAATGGAGATGCTTTTCATTGAACCTTTTGAGTACTTAAGTCTTTGATATCTGACAACCAGTGTGTATTTTATAGCACATTTCAATTTGGACTAGCCACATTTTGAGTGTTCAATAGCTACATGTAGCTGGGAGCTACCATATTGGACAGTAAAGGTCTAGAGCTTTGCTACTCAATGTCTAGTCCACAAATTTGAGGTACTTAGAAAATATTACTGCTCATAGACAGTGTACCTGATCACCTAAAAACTTGTAAGATGATTGTTGTTTTCATGCCTGCTAACACACCTATTCTGCAGCATATGGAGCAAGGACTAATTTCAACTTTCAGATCTTATTATTAAAGAAATACATTTTATAAAGCAGTGACTCCTCTGGTGGATCTGGACAAAGCATACTGAAAACCCCTTGCAGGCCAGGTGCAGTGGCTCATGCCTATAATCCTAGCACTTTGGGAGGCTGAGGTGGGCAGATCTCTTGAACACAGGAGACCAGCCTGGGCAACATGGTGAGACCTCATCTCTACAAAAAAATACAAAAAGCAGCCAGGTATGGCGGTGGGTGCCTGTAGTCTCAGCTATTTGAGAGGCTGAGGTGGGAGGACCACCTGAGCCTGGAGGTTGAGGCTGTGATCATGCCACTGCACTCCATCCTGGGCGACAGAGCAAGACCGTTTCAAAAGACAAAATTAAACTAAACTTTCCCTCCTGGAAAAGACTCATCATTGCAGATGCCATTAAGAACATTTGTGATTCATAGGAAGAGGTCAAAAAAATCAACATTAGGCCAGGTGCCGTGGCTCACTCCTGTAATCCTAGCACTTTGGGAGGCTGAGGCGAGTGGATCACTTGAGGTCAGGAGTTCAAGATCAGCCTGGCCAATATGGCGAAACCCCATCTCTACTAAAAATATAAAAATTAGCCAGGCATAGTGGTATAATATTGGGGTTCAGGGGTTCAGGGTGCCCTCAGCTTCTGAGAGGACGGTTCTCCAGGTTCTTGGTCTCTCGCCTTCTCAAGAATGAGAGAGGGGACCACGGTGCAGTGCACGTAAATGCCGGACTCAAAAGTGTTTGTACAAAGTGATTTACTTAGAGACAGACAGAAACTGGAGAGATAAAGAAACAGCTCTCACACTGCGTGAGAGAATCCAGAAAGATGGAATCCAGGAGAGGAAAGCGGCTTCCACACTGACTGGAAGGGAATAGAGAGAGATGTTATGAGGAGAAGACAGGCTTCCATGAGAGAGCGTGGAAAGGGACTCCGTAGGGGAAATCCAGGAGACAGAAAGATGGCTTCCACAAAGGGAGTGTTCACGGACGGGGACCCAAACATGGAGTCCAAAGGGGTGTGGAAGATGGGGACTTATAACCTCTGAGGAACCCTCACCTTCTCTAAGACCCCGGGCCAATGGAAGGAGTTCCTCAGAACTTCCACTGGAGTGACTTTTAGTTTCTTCCCGTGCCTGCGAAATTTAAACATAAAGCCTTAAATCTCCCAGATGGAGAGAGATGGGAGGGGGGCATGGCGCTGGGAAGATCTTGCCCTTAAAACTGCACCCCCTTGTGGACCCAGAAAGAGAACACATTCCCTCAGTGGCATGCACCTGTAATCCCAGCTACTTGGGAGGTTGAGGCAGGAGAATCACTTGAACACAGGAGGCAGAGGCTGCAGTGAACTAAGATCATGCCACTGCACTGCAGCCTGGGCCATAGAGTGAGACTGTCGCAAAAACAAAAAACATTAACAAGGGTTTGGAAGAAGGTGAATCTAACCCTCATGGATGACTTTGAGGGGTTCAAAACTTCAGTGGAGGAAGAAACTGCAGATGTGGTAGAAATAAGAGAGCTAGAAGTGGAGCCTGAAGATGGGACTGAACTGCTGCACTCTCATGAGAAAACTTGAAAAGATGAGGACTTACTTTTTACGGATGAGCAAAGAAAGTGGTTTCTTGAAATAGAATCTACTCCGGGTAAAGATGCTGTGACCCTTGAAGTGACAACATAGGACTGAGAATATTACATAGACTTAATTGATAAATCAGCAGCAAGGTTTGAGGGGACTGACTCCGATTTTGAAAGAAGTTCCATTGCAGGTAAAATGCGATCAAACAGCATCGTGTGCTATAGAAAACTCTTTTATGAAAAGAAGAGTCAATGTGGCAAACTTCATTGTCTTATTTTAAGAAATTTCCAGTCACTCCAACCTTCAGTAACTACCACCCTGATCAGTCAGCATCCATCCACGAACAAAGGCAAGATACCCTACCAATAAAACGACTGGGACTTGCTGACAGCTCAATTAAGTGTTAGCATTTTTTTTTTTTGGCAATGAAGTATTTTAAAATTAGGGTATGCACATTTTTTTTGGAGATAATGCTACTGCACATCTAATAGACTGCTACATAGTGTAAACATAACTTTTATATGCACTAGGAAATGAAAAAGTCTGTGTGACTCACTTTATTGCAGTGTTTGCTTTACTGCGGTGGTCTGGAACCAAATCTGCAGTATCTCTGAGGTATGCTAGGCTGCCTTGCTAGTTCACCTGGCCTTCCCTCCCAAACCAACGTGTTATTTCCTGTGGCTCCAGTCTATATTCCACAAGCAGAACTTAAGGACAGCAAAAATGTTTATTTGAAAAAATTACTATGTATTGAAAATATACATTAGAAATTATTACATACTCCCATAGCATTCCCCTCCCCCACCACAAAAGTAGAAATATCTGCTTGCTATGCTAATGCCATAGGCAAATTCAAACAAAAAGTAAATCATCCTTAGTCTCCTTTCTTCAAACGTTAGAGCTGGGGGGAGAAAGGTCAACTTGTACCTACTAATCAATAGGAATTTAGCAGGTCCCAGTCTTCCACAGCAAGACATACATATTTCTGCTTTGAAGGTTGTGAAGGGTTATTCTGTTTTGTCTCTGACTCCTCAAAAGGTCTCTTCGTGCTCTTCTTTGACTCCTGGCTTGAGACAGCTTCGTGTTTCAACACTGGCCCATGGCAATCTGGGGCTTTCTCTTTGTAGAACTGGAGTTTCTCAGAAGAGTTCATGTGGGTGTCTGCCACAGGACGCTTCAATGGGGCTTCTGCTCGAGACTGCTTCCCGTCTGTGACAGAAGGGAAGGGTGATGAGTTCACTCCGCTGGCATGCTAATTCCCTCATCAGTCTAGGACAGGCGTCCCCAAACTTTTTACACACGGGTCCAGTTCACTGTCCCTCAGACCGTTGGAGGGCCGCCACATACTGTGCTCCTCTCACTGACCACCAATGAAAGAGGTGCCCCTTCCTGAAGTGCGGGGGGGGGGGGGCGGATAAATGGCCTCAGGGGGCCGCATGTGGCTGACGGGCGGGCCGTAGTTTGGGGATGCCTGGTCTAGGATAACCCCAGGGAAATGACAATGGCCCAAACAGGGTAATATCTGCATTGATTGCATTTTGCCTTAAGTGAGGTCGCTATGGTGTGCATGCAGGCACAGGTTGAAGGCACAGACTCATACTACAGTCTGACAGATTTGGATTTAAATCCTAGATCTGCCTCTTCTTATAAGTGACCGTGGGCAAGTGACTTCTCTGAGATTCTGTTTAATCACCTCTATAGAGATACAAAACCTATTTCATAGGCTGATACGAAGATAAATGAACTAATGTACATAAAGAGATTAGCATAATGTTTGACACACACTAAAAGCCCCAAAAATGTTAGCCTTCATTATTAGAAATCTGGATTTGAATCTGTCTTTTCAGAGCCAAATAGCAAACGATACAACCTACTTTACATTTTTTTTTGGTAAGCCCTGGTTGCTACTTTTATATTTCCTTCACTTTAATTTCATCATTTAATTCCTTTTCTTTTAAAATCACAGTAAAATATACATAACATAAAATGTAGCATTTTAGCCATTTTTAAGTGCACAGTTCAGTAGCATTAAGGACATTCACACTGTTGTGCAATCATCATCACCATCCAGCTCCAGAACTCTTTTTATCTTGTACCACTGAAACTCTGTACGTGTTAAACAATAACTCCCCATTCCTGCCTGCGCCACCCCTGCCTCCCTAGTCACAATTACCATTCTACCTGCTCTATGAATCTAACTCTTCTAGGTACCTTATACAAGAACAATCATATGATATTTGTCCTTCTGCAACTAGCTTATTTCCCTTAGCATGACATCTTGAAGGCTCATCCATGTTGTGTCAAAGTTTCTTTACTTTTAAAGCCTGAAATATACTGTATGTATATTTCACATTTTGGTTATCCATTTATCTGTTGATGGACATCTGGGCTGCTTCCACCTTCTGGCTACACATAATTCTTTTTTAATCTTCCATATTCTATCTACTTTTGTACCGCCACAGCTCTTTTTTGTAACAAGATGGTACATAAGTAAGTAATTTTAAAAAGCTATCTTCCTGGTGCTGGTTCTCAAAGCTAAGTGTGAACTTACACTGTAAGCTAAGCTAAGAGAATATAAGTCTTGGTGATCGTAAATAAGCCAATACTATCATTATTAATTTTTCCAAGGAGGAAAAACAGGCTAACTGCTTTAAGGATGCAAATAAAGGGCAAAAATCTTCAAAGGAAAGGGAATTTCTCACAGAAGCGCTGAGCTGCCGTTCTAGGCTTTGAGGTTTCCCGTGGCTTCACAGCTTCCGCAATCACACGCTCCCACTGCAGAACGATCTGAAACGTATTTGGAAAGATTTGAATCCAAAAAAATCTTGAGATTTTAATCTCAAGCCTTCCTTGTTCCCTTTCCATAAACACAAACCCCTCTGGTAAATCTGACTTCAGATGACTGGTGATAAGAATAAGAACCAAGCCAAGTCTGCATCTTCCGCTCTAATGCAGGAGTTGAGTGAGAATTCGAACACATTGGATATATGTATCTGCATGACTAAGGGAAACCTATAAAGCTGACTCCCTATTTACATGTTTATTCTGAGCTGGAAATCAATTACATATCCTTAAATACTAAAACTTAAAACTTTAGTCATTAACACTTTTCACACATCCCTAGACTTACTCTTGTGCCTTAAAATATGCCAATTATAACTCAAACCCTTGTAGGTAAAATGCCCATTTCCATATTTTCATAACACTTCATGATCAGTTTTTATTTTTTAAACTGTTACGAATGTATTTTTATTATAAGCTGCTACCAATTTCTTTAGAAATATGGCTGAGTATAAGCTATACATAAAGAAAAGCCAATGACTATTTCAATGTACCATAAATAACAAGAACTTTTATTTTTTTTTATTATGGAATGCAAGGAAATGACCAGAAAAAAGGTCCAGAAAAACATTTTCAGGACATAGGCAATACAATACAGAGTTTAAGAATACAGTTACAGGTTGGGCGCAGTGGCTCATGCCTATAATCCCAGCACTTTGAAAGGCCAAGGCAGGTGGATTTCAGGAGTTCGAGAACAGCCTGGCCAACATGGTGAAAACCTATCTCTAGTAAAAAATACAAATATTAGCCAGGTGTGGTGGCATATGCCTGTAGTCCCAGCTACTCGGGAGGCTGAGGCACAAGAATTGCCTGAACCTGGGAGGCAGAGGTTGCAGTAAGCCAAGATCACACCACTGCACTCCAGCATGGGTGACAGAGTGAGACGCTGTCTCAAAAAAAAAAAAAAAAAAAAATACAGTTCTAGGCCAGGCACAATGGCTCACCCCTGTAATCTTTGCACTTTGGGAGGCTGAGGTGGTAGGATCCCTTGAGCCCAGGAGTTTGAGACCAGCCTGGGCAACATGGTGAAACGCCATCTCTATTTAAAAACAAACAAAAAACCAGTTCCAGAGTTGGCTCCACCACTTACTTGCCAGGGGACCCATGGCAAGTGATTTAATTTCTTAGTAGTCTCAATTTCTTCATCTGTAAGGATCAATGATAGTACATACTCTATAGAGATGTTTTAAGGAGTTAATGAGATAATACACATAAAGAGTTTAGCACAGTGTCTGGCACACAAAAGGCATTTACTAAATATTAGTTGCCATCTCTTCTATAATTTCCTGGTTTTAAAAATGGGGACAGATTTCAGAGAAGACCAGGATGGATTAATCCAATGTGTTGACTAAGTGGGCAACAGGGAAAATGGTGCTTCCTTCCATGAAACAGAAATAAGAATGTCAATAAAAGCTGGTGGGGGATAGGGAAGAAAATGAGTTTGGTTCGGGACAAGCTGAATTTGAGGTGCCAGGTGGAGATTTACAAAGGATACTTGGGAATGGGTCTACCAGTGTCTAAGAATGCAGACTCATCCTCGCAAGGACAGCTGGAGCTCTGAGCACAGTCAAAGAGCACCTAGAGAGTGTGTGGAGGTGTAGGAGAAGAGGAGAGGAACAAAGAGGCATCAGCTATAGCCGGAGAAATGAGAAAGTTAGGGGAATGCCAGGAGAGAGGCCCAGAGAAAACTCATAAGGGATGCATGTTTCTATTGAATGCTGCGGGAAAGCCAAGGAGGGGGAAGAATATCACCACTCGCCTTCAAGAGGACACCATCAGTAGAGCAGTGGAGGCCAGAACTAAATCGCAAGGGAGTAAGAACTGAGGAGTCACCAAGGGGGTGGGACAGACAGGACAGGAAACAATGCACAGCTGCAATGGGGAGTAAGGACCATGCTAGAATAAGGACACCCTATGTTTAGCCAGAGAAAGCAGACAGTCAACAGAGGAGGACACTGAAGATGTGGGCGGGGGGGGAGGGGCAGTAGGGGAAAATAATTATTAGTAAATATCACAAGGGAAGTTGGAGATCTTAGGGAATATAATTTTTAAAAAAAAGAAAAAAGAAAGAACGAACCTGTGACTGGAATAAAGAAGCCCACTTGTTCCCTTGGATAGGAGGGAAGTGGAATACGGTTGAAGAAATGGAGAAATTCTGAGACAGAAATAGGGAAGTAAGTGGACCATATTGTGAGATGGCTTCATTGTTCTTTGTCACCTACTAAGAATGAGGGTAAGTGAGTGGGGTCAGCCTGAAATAGTTTCAATAACAAATCCACAAGACATAGGTAAAGCCCTGCTGCCAAGCCCTAGGGGCCCAGCTGAGAGTGGATGACAGGAAGCCGCCCTGGTCCAGTCAACTTACTCTCAGGCCAGGCTGCCAGGTGTTTTACGTGATCCTTCTAGAGCCCTGCTCAAGAGAAGGCCTAGTTTCTCCATTTTATGGATGAAGACACAGAGACTGAAAGTTGCCTTAGGTTGTACAGGTATTGGGTTGCTGAGCCAGGATCCCAAGTCCAGGTCTTTCTGACTCCACAGCCTATGCTCTTTTCACCATGTCACCTGCTACCGAACTGCATCAAGCCTTTGTAAGGCCATCCCACACCTGCCCCAAGTGCATCTACGATGCATCTAGGTCTCACATAGCACTACAGTATAAACTTTGGCAGTGCACCATGGTAATGATTTCATCAAGCATGTTCTCGACCAAGCTAAGAATGCTTCTGAAACATGGACTCATCAGTCTCTCTGCTTACCTGTGGAGAGCTGATGCTACAATCAGGCAGTTGGATAGTTCTACCATTGTGCATTATGGTTTGGGGCTAAGAAGGGATCCAGGACAGTTTGGTGGGTCCTCTATGCCTTCACCAAGAAACACCTGTTAACAGTGTCTAAGGGAGAAAGGCACCAGCCACAGGGAAGGTGGCATCTACCTGTGTTATCCTACTTGGTTACTTTCTCACTTCCAACTTAAGTAAAAGACTCTGAATCCCACTTAAATCTGTACAAGTGAAGAAAGACCATTAAGATAAAAAGGAGTCAAAGTAAAGTTCTCTCACTGCTAAGACTCAGTAAGAGAAGGACAAAAAAGTCACCTCCTCACGATGGCTCTGAGAGGTAAGAAACTTCCCAAAAGAAAAAGAACAATCATATTTGAATCCTTATTTGCATGACACCAGAGTTTATTCTCACTCCAGTATATACACACTACTAAGAGAATCTGTCCTTCGGAAGTGGAATCAGACCACTTTTTTGTATAGCAAGCCAGAGTTCACTTATTTTCTGAGTCAACTGTAAGATGGCATTTTCTCCTAAGTCCAATAAAGATAAGGCACAATCTAGCGACCAGAGCATGAGATATAAGGTCTGGCACCAATTCTTTAAGTACATGGGCCAGTTATAGACCATCAGGGTCTCCAATCTGACATGACGATGACAATTTAGCCAAGGACTACCAAGTGGATTTCCATTTATTCAATGTGTTGGATAAGACACCTGGAATTAAAATGAAAAGATGTATCAACCGCAGGGAAGAAAAGTCTGGAGTACCTGGTCAGCCCAGCCTTCTGTCTTACAGTTACTATGATCAAATTCCTTCAAAGGCACTTTGGAGTGAACAAGGCCTATGTGGGTCTGGAGCTTGTGCTTGATGGTTTTGACGTCCTAGTGAGGCAGAGACAGATCAGAAATGCAAATACATTTGGTTAATTCTTACTTGGTTTCAGTAGTAAATAAAGACCATCATACATAACAGCCCTTTCTAAATACCAATCAGCACAGGCAAAATATCAAATTGTTGATCTAGAAAAATGAGAGAAGGAACCAAAAGTCTTACCTTGAGCCCTGTACCAGAGATATCTAAGCAGTTAAGTTTCCTAAAAGAAAAGAGGTATCCAATGCCTGCATCTGTGATCTCAGGGTTACCTAGATGTCAAAAACAAGGTAGCATTCTGTTACAACATAAATGTTAAAATGACAACTAAAACTAAGCTCAGAAAAAAGTCCAGGCAATGATAAACTATAAAACATTTGAGTCGGCAAACTTTTCAAAGTAAATCAAATATGGAGATCTAACTTTTACTATTTGGAATATAAAAAAGCCACTCCCTGGAGAGAGATCCAAGATGGCTGATCACTAGCAGCTTGGGATTGTAGCTCCCAGCGAAAGCGCAGAGAATGAGAGGATGCCACACTTTCAGATGAATTCTTGTTGCTCACGCACCAGGAGATTCCCAGGGGAGGAGCCCCACGGGTCACCAGTGCGACTCTTGTGACCAGCGAGGCAGTTTTGCCGGCGCCTCGGAGAGTCGGTTCTTGGTGCAGAGTCAGAAAAGCACCATCAATCTTTTTTTTTTTTTTTTTTTTTTGAGACGGAGTTTCGCTCTTGTTACCCAGGCTAGAGTGCAATGGCGCGATCTCGGCTCACCGCAACCTCCACCTCCTGGGTTCAGGCGATTCTCCTGCCTCAGCCTCCTGAGTAGCTGGGATTACAGGCACGCACCACCATGTCCAGCTAATTTTTGTATTTTTAGTAGAGACGGGGTTTCACCATGTTGACCAGGATGGTCTCGATCTGTCGACCTCGTGATCCACCCGCCTCGGCCTCCCAAAGTGCTAAGATTACAGGCTTGAGCCACCTTGCCCGGCCAGCACCATCAATCTTAAAGCCGCTGTTTTAGCTGGCGCAGTGGGCTGCTCGGATTTCGGCACTGAGAATCAATAAGTTGGATGTCCACTCAGAAACCCAATTACAAAGACCGTAATTATAAAGAGCACAGATGCATAAATCTACAACGAAGGCAAGAAAATAGCCTAAAAAGGCTGAGAATACCCAAGATCTGAATGCCTCTCCCTCTACAGGGGATCACAGTTCCTCATCAGCAATGGAACAAGGCTTGATGGAGAACAAGTGTGTTCCATTATCAGATGCAGGCTTCAAAAGGTGGATAATAAGAAACTTCTGTGAATTAAAAGAACTTGTTCTAACCCAATCCAAAGAAACTAAGAACTTTGAAAAAAGGTTTGATGAAATGTTAACAAGAATACACAATTTAGAGAGGAATATAAGTGAACTGATGGAGCTGAAAAACACAATATGAGAACTTTGTGAAGTATGCACAAGTTTTAACAGCCGAATTGATCAAGCAGAAGAAAGGGTATCAGAGGTCGAAGACCAACTTAATGAAATAAAACGAGAAGACAAGATTAGAAAAAAAAGGATAAAAAGGAAGGAACAAAGTCTCCAAGAAATATGGGACTATGTGAAAAGACCTAATCTACGTTTGATAGGTGTACCTGAATGTGACAAAGAGAATGAATCCAAGCTGGAAAATATGCTTCAGGATATTATTCAGGAACATTTTCCCAACCTAGTAAGGCAGGACAATATTCAACTCCAGGTAATACAGACAACACCACAAAGATATTTCTCAAGAAGAGCAACCCCAAGGCACATAATCGTCAGATTCACCAGGGTTGAAATGAAGGAGAAAATACTAAGGGCAGCCAGAGAGAAAGGTCAGGTTACCCACAAAGGGAAACCTATCAGACTTACAGCAGATCTCTCAGCAGAAACCCTACAAGCCAGAAGAGAGTAGGGACCAATATTCAACGTCCTTAAAGAAAAGAACTTTCAACCAAGAATTTAACATCCAGCCAAACTAAGCTTCATAAGTGAAGGAAAAATAAAATTTTTTGTGAACAAGCAAGCACTCAAAGAGATTTCATCACCACCAGGCCTGCTTTACAAGAGCTTCTGAAAGAACCACTATACATAGAAAGGAACAAACAGCATCAGCCTTTGTAAAAAATACCAAAAAGTAAAGAGCATCAATATAATGAAGAATTTACATCAACTAATGGGCCTAAAACCTATTGGTATGCTGCATCCAGACCCATCTCACATGCAAGGATACACAAAGACTCAAAACAAAGGGATGGAGAAAGATTTACTAACCAAAAGGAAAGCAAAAATAATAAATAAATAAATAAACAAACAAAAAGCAGAAGTTACAAATTTTGCCTCTGATAAAATAGTCTTTAAAGCAACAAAGATCAAAAGAAGCAAAGAAGGACATTATATAATGATAAAAGGATCAATGCAACAACAAGAAGACCTAAAGATCCTAATATATACGCACCCAATACAGGAATACCCAGACATACAAGACTTATAAAGAGACTTAGACTCCCCCATAATAATAGTGGGAGACTTCAACATTAATATTAGACAGATCAATGAGACAGAAAATTAACAACGATATCCAGGACTTGAACTCAGATCTGGAACAAGCAAACTTAATTAACATTTATAGAACTCTCCAATTTAAATACACAAAATATACACTCTTATCAGTACCACATCATATCAACTTACAAGTTTAAATGAAATATTGGTTGGCTCCTTGTTTGTTATTTTCTTCCCTTATTTTTTTTTTCATGTCTCCATTATTAAGCACAATTATAGGCATACCCATATTTAGACTGCATTTTAGCCCGGGCAATAAAGCAATACCCCCATTGTCTCTCCCTCTTCCTCTTTCTCTTTCTTCCTCTTCTTTATTCTTATTATTCTTTTTTTTCTCTTTCTTTAAAAAAGAAAAAAAAAAAAAGCCACTCCCAGTGATCCTTAAAGATGCTTTACACTCCCATGTTCATTTCAGCATTATTCACAATAGCAAAATTATGGAGGGAAAAAAAAAGATGCTTTACAGCTCTTACTTTCTAGGAGTTGGGGGTGAGCAGAAAATTAAATGAACCACATAGTTATTCCAAAGGGTTTAATTTGGAACCATATGAAAACATATATAAACATGTATTAAAATGGTTCATTGGAGGCCAAGCATGGTGGCTCACGCCTATAATCCCAGTACTTTGGGAGGCCGAGGCAGGCGGATCACGAAGTCAAGAGATAGAGACCATCCTGTTCAACATTGTGAAACCCTGTCTCTACTAAAAATACAAAAAATAGGCTGGGTGTGGTGGCTCATGCCTGTAATTCCAGCACTTTGGGAGGCAGAGGTGGGTGAATCAGCTGGTGTTAGGTGTTCGAGACCAGGCTGGCCAACATGGTAAAACCCCGTCTCTACTAAAAATACAAAAATTAGCCGGGTATGGTGGGACTTGCCTGTAGTCCCAGCTACTTGGGAGGCTGAGGCAGGAGAATTCCTTGAACCTATGAGGTGGGGGTTGCAGTGAGCCGAGATCGTGCCACCGCACTCCAGACTGGTGACAGAGCAAGACTCCATCTCAAAAAAATAAAATAAAAAGGTTCATCATACTTTATTCATGGCCATTTCACTTCCAGAGTAAAAACTTTTATTTATTTTAAAAAGATACTCAAGGGAATTTAGACACAGATACTATCACCACTCTTACCAACTTGCATTTTTTTTTCAGAATCCTTTCTTCTGTATTACTCTCACATCAGAGAGTACTGCACTTAGCCCTGAGGCCTCAAGGCCATAAGCACAGTGCCTGGCACACTGTAGATGTTCAAAAAAGATGTGTTGTATGAATACACTTCCCTGGGAGGTAGGCAGGACATTCAATATTATCCTCATTTTTCAAAGGCCAAAACCAATGCTCAAAGTGGTTAAATAAATTGTCTGTTAACTGGCAGTAAAAGTGGCAGAGCAAAAAGGAGCAGAAGAACCCCTGCACCTTCTATTCTTTTGGCACCACACTGTCCTGCCATAGAGTCAACGGATGCTCAGTTAAACTGTAAATGATCTCTGCCAACCACGTCTTACCACTGGAGTCAGTATCTGGTTAATCCAAGTAAGTTATCACAATTGTGGGTTCATCCAGCTTTTCATCATGCAAACACTGATAAAATAGGACCTAGCTGATAGATTCCAAGGATCAGAGACTCAAGGAAAATAAAGGTGAGTCAAATGTCCTTTAAGTATGCAATGAATATGATGAAAGGTGGCTTTGTTTGCATACATCAAGTGGCATGGATCAAGTATAAGGGTTTTTCCTACCCTAAAGAGGTGGTATATGCTGGAAAAGTCATTTGGTCAAGAGTCAAGTCGGTCCCGCTCTGCCACCAAGTTTCTATGGCATGCAGGAAAGTCACCTTTTCTTTCTCACCTCTACAATGAAGGGGAAGAACTAGATGATCTCTAAGGCCATTCTTCCAACATTAAAATAATCTATAATTCTGAAGAAAACTTACATGATAAGTCTAATAATGTTAGATTTTCAAGGCCTCTTTTCATCACTCGAACTGGTGCCGTCATCTTCCGCACTCCAGCATCAGATAAACAATTATCCTTCAGGTGGAGCTGAGTTACACTAGGGAAACAAAGTATATAGATAAATTACTCAAAGAGAGTTTGAGACACTCTAAGTATAAAAACCATGCTTCGAACATTCTGAAACATATCGCCGGGCGCGGCGGCTCAAGCCTGTAATCCCAGCACTTTGGGAGGCCGAGGCAGGTGGATCGCAAGGTCAAGAGATCAAAACCATCCTGGTCAACATGGTGAAACCCCATCTCTACTAAAAATACAAAAATTAGCTGGGCATGGTTACGCCTGCCTGTAATCCCAGCTACTCAGGAGGCTGAGGCAGGAGAATTGCCTGAACCCAGGAGGTGGAGGTTGAGGTGAGCTGAGATCACGCCATTGCACTCCAGCCTGGGTAACAAGAGCGAAACTCCGTCTCAATAAAAAAAAAAAAAAAAAAGTAATATATCCTCTACCTCTTGCTAGTTCATACCCAATGCATTTAACAGATTTAACAGTTCATACCCAATGCATTTCTGGGCTGGGCATGGTAGCTCACACCTGCAATGTCAGTACTTTGGAAAACAGGCTGGAGGATCACTTGACCCAGGCGTTAGAGACCTCATCCCTCCAAAAAATTTAAAATTAGCTAGCAAGGTGCTGTGTGCCTGTGGTCCTAGCTACTTGGGAGGCTGAGGCAGGAAGATGGCTTCAACTGAAGATTTCAAGGCTGCAGTGAACTATTATTGCACCATTGCACTCCAGCCTAGATGACAGAACATGACCCCGCCTTATAAAAAAAAAAAAAAGGTTTTTTGGTGCCACTTCTGTTACCAAGAGAGGGTTAATTTCGTGTCATGCAGTACTAATTGCAGATGGCAGAGGGCACTAAAGGTATATTACTGAATGAGGTAAACAGGGACTTCCATTAAGGGTATAAATATACTTTAAGACAAAAGCTGCTTTTCTGACAAATCGTGTGAAAATCAAAAACATTCTAAATGTGTCAGGAAAGTTTGAAAATTCTTTTTGCAAAACAAACAATCCTCTAGTTTTAACCAGCTTTATACATCTAGATTTTCATATTGGGTTAATAAGGTATACCCATAGCCCAATCCATCCGATGCTAACCTGAAATTGGTATATTAATATGCTCCACTTTCACCTAAGAAATCTGAGCCGTGGTGCTAATGAGCCTCATACAACAGTAGTATCTTTGTGTGGAGCAGTAGGTAGTTGCCATTGTCAGAAGCAGGCCATACCTAGGTTTGTAATGCTGTTGATCTTCTGGGTATTTATAAAACGACAGAGGAATCCTTCTGTCCTCCTCTTTGCTGGCCAGACTGAATAACCTGAGATCAGTCACACTATTTGTGAATGGTATGAACTGGGCCATTTCTTTAAATCATGGTTCCTGAAAAGAATTTCTTTGGCTGTCTTTAATAGTTCATTTTCTTTATAATTAGAGCTCATTGATAGTTAAAGTAGCAAACAATATGACTGCTGACTACGGTATCATGTCTCATCCCTTGCTATAATAAACTAGGACTGGATAAATAAAGGGCAAAACCTGAGGCAGGCAGACCACCTGAGGTCAGGAGTTCGAGACCGGCCTGGCCAACATGGCAAAACCCCATCTCTACTCAAAGCACAAAAATTAGCCAGGCCTGGTGGCGGGTGCCTGTAATCCCAGCTACTCAGGAGGCTGAGGCAGGAGAATAGCTTGAAGCCGGGAGGCAGAGGTTGCAGCGAGCTGAGATCATGCCACTGCACTCTGGCCTGGGCGACAAGAGAGGGACTCCGTTTAAAAATAAATAAATTAAAAACGAAGATTCAAAAAAATAAAAATAAAGGACAAAACCATTTTCAACCCAGGTAGCTTCAAGTATCACAGGTTAAAATAAAAGTTACTTAGAAAAAAAGTGTCAACCAACTTGAGTCAATTGACTGACTTCCTAAGAGTTATCTAACCTATACTGCTTGTACCAAGTAAATGGAGACTGAAAATATTTTAGAAAAAAAAAAAGGAAATAAAACACAAGAATGGGAAGTAATCAGCACTCCTGAAGATAATCCTTTTTTAAAGAACAGCCTTTAAAAAAAGACTGAAACAATTCATCTGCAAGTGGCAACAGGTCAGTACCTAGATAGGGCTTCATTGGTGAGATGTTCTAGAAGTTCATGCTCATCTCCAAGCTTGCAACATGAAAGATCCAGGCAGGTCAGCTCCCGGAAAGACTTAATCTCCTCAAGTTTTTCTGAAATCACCAGATACCTATGGAGAATGGAGAGCAATCAATAGCTTCCCCCCTTTTAAAGCATTACCATTTGTGGATTTGTATCATAGTCAATATTCCACCATCCCATCAGGACACAGTACTATGGAATAAGCAGACTTCACTAATTACTACCAAGGCAAAGCCTGGATTTTTTAATTAGTAAATGCCTTGAACATCTTTTTATGTGATGGTGGAATAAAAATTTTGAATAAATGTACATTAACAAAAGCAGGTCACAAGAGAAGACATCTGCTTTGCTATCAGACAGACCTTGGCATTGGTGTTAGGACCTTACCTGAGAATTTCCAAAGTTTAGGATACTCAAATTTTTATTACTAATCTTTTAAAGTGGCTTTTAATCTAATGCTCAACATCTAGTGATTTGAAAACTGAAGCAAGGTCAAGAACTCTGGACTCCAATCTGCACATCCCCAAGAACATACCAAGAGATATTTGGTACATCGCATTTTATCTTTTCTACTCAAACACAAATTTGAGTACCTGTCCATTCTCCTGTGCCTCTGCTACCCTAACTTTACTTCAAATGTACAGCAAGAGTGTGACAAGGACTCACTCCAGTCTAGATGAATATTAAGACAAAAGCTGGGCACAAGCAACTTAATTACGTTGCAGCACCTTGCTGAGTTGTTAGCAGTAAGCATCAGCGAGGCCTCTGGAGAGGGAAAGGAGATCAAAATGGCATTCCACAGCCCAGGATGGGGCCTCCTCCCTGCTTTCTAGTGGTTCGTCTATCTCAGATGAGGTCAGTGAGAAAAAATGAAAGGGATTAAGTGTGACAGGAAACTGACAGGAGAGGATCCTAAGAGGACAAGGAAACTGACTTGCGGCAAGAGCAGGCCTTTCTCAATCACCTTCCTCTTGGATGTCTAGAAGTTTCCACAGCAAGATGGTATGTTAGGATTAGTGGGGTTACACCTAAAAGAGTTCATACCTCTCTTCTCTCAGCAGAAACTGCCAAAAACAGAATGGAATAATCAGAGGGCAAAAGGGAGGTTAATCTCTTTTCTTCCTACTTCCAAACAAAAAAAGATGTACTCAAACTAATCACTATACTGACTCCTAGGTACAGATGGCCTGAGGCACTGATACCCCTTTAAAGGGTGGAACCCAAGCTGCCTGGAGACTGAGCTCAGTGGGTACACAAAAGAGCCTTATTTACTCAGATGTATTTTAATTGCACTGTAAATAAAGCTGCTGTTTTCCACCTTCCAATCACAGAGTTGAAGTGTGTTAATGGGGATCTAGGGGATTACTGGCAATCAGAGAAAGGAAAATGCACATCCTTTCATCAATTAACCAAAAGATTTTTAGTGATTCTGAAACAAGGGTTCCATGCAAAGGATGTAACACTGTGCAATATGATTAAGAAACATTACAAAACTCAAGGTTGAGGAACAAACATATTAGGCCACAGACATTACTAGATGCTAATCCAGGACGTAATCAAAGCTCTAGGTTCTTGCTTGCAACCAGTCTTCCAATTTTCCCTTAAAGGGTTTTCGGAACACTACAGTGGAAAAGCAATAGAAGGAGCACAGACCAGATCTGAGTTTGGATTCGAACACCCCTAACTACTTGTGGGATTGTGAGACAGTTACTTAACCTTTCTGAGCCTCAATTTCTCCAGCTACAAAATGGGGCGAATGATTACTTCTTTTCAGGATCATTAAGAAAAAGAGAAATAATATTTTAAAATTCCATGGCACCTTGCAGACCTTCATGAAATAGTAGCTATTACTACTATGTCAATAGCAAAGGGTGATATTTTAAGGAAAACATACTTGCCTCCCCATGACCACCAGTGGGATTAAAAATCACCAGGGTTTCAACAAAAGGGAGAAGAGAGTTTTCATAAGGTTGGAATCTAGTTGCAAAGAGACTTGCTTCTGGCAGGTAGCTTTGTGACTTAACCCCAAGATAGCAAGTGCCTACCATCTAATTATTTTATTTTCATTTATTTTTTTCAAGCTCATTACTTTTGATCTGAACCCTTTTGTGTTGACACAACCTCTTGGACTGCAGCTGCAGCCCTGGATTGCAAATGCAACCTCAAATTTCCTGCCCTCTATTTTCCTTTAAGGATGTAAAAGGAGAAGAGAGGTTTTCAATCACAATTGAAAAATCTTACATTTGAACGAGACAGTAAAGTCTGGAATTGCTGCAAGAAAATATGGGCTAAAAGATTATGCTAAAAATGTTTCCTATATTTTCTGGCCAGGCATGGTGGCTCACCTCACTTGTAATCCCAGCACTTTGGAAGGCTGAGACAGGTAGATCTGAAGGTGAGGAGTTCAAGATCAGCCTGGTCGACATGGTAAAACCCCATCTCTACCAAAAAATACAAAAATCAGCTGGGCATGGTGGCAGGCGCCTGTAGTCTCAGCTACCCAGGAGGCTGAAGTGTAAGAATCACTTGAACCTGGGAGGCAGAAGCTGTAGTGAGCCAAGATCACACCACTACAAATCCAGCCTGAGCAAGAGTGAAATCCTGTCTCCAAAAAATAAAAAAGTTTTCTATATTTTCTGATTATTATAGAAATGTAAATGTTTCTATTTTCTGATAATGTATCATTTTCATTGGAGAAAAATTAAGAAAATATAGAAAAGTATAAAGAATATAAAATCAATTCCAATCCTACGTAGACTACTTTTTGGTAGGGTTCCTTCTTCTATCTATGCAATACAAACATTTAAAAATCTATTTCTTAGAATGTTATCTTAACAGTTATATAATATTTCATCATATAAATGTACTATAATTTGCTTAACTAATTCCCTACTGTTGAACATTTAGTTTATAGATTTTTTAGATGAAGTCTTCCTCAACCGCCCAGGCTGGAGTGGAATGGCACATTCTTGGCTCACTGCAACCTCCGCCTCTCAGGTTCAAGAGATTCTCCAGCCTCAGCCTCCTGAGTAGCTGGGACTACAGGTGTGCACCACCATGTCCAGCTGATTTTTTTGTATTTTTACTAGAGACGGGGTTTAACCATGTCGGCCAGGCTGGTCTCAAACTCCTGACCTCAGGTGATCTGCCTACCTTGGCCTCCCAAAGTGCTGGGATTGCAGGAGTGAGCCACGGTGCCTGGCCAGTTTTCAGATTTTCACTCATACAAACAGTACTACAATGGACACTCATATAAAAATATCTGTTCCCATCTTTGATTATTACATTAGAGATCAGAACAGATTCTTAATCAGTAGAATGGGTCAAACAAATAGTATAGATGTTTTCAAGGTTCTTGATACATATTGCCAAACTGCTTGCAGAAATGCTACACTAATTCATGTGCTCATCAAATGTGAATAAAAAGTGCTATTCTCATCACAATCCGACCAATCTGCCACTGCAACAGTATGCAGACATCGCAAACGGATAAACAGCATTTTCAACAGCATGGGAAATGTTAAGCTAGGTGGGGGAGAAAACAGAATACAAGTTGTACAAAGTATATATTCTCAAATGTTAAAAAGGTAGGTGGGGGAGAAAACAGAATACAAGTTGTACAAAGTATATATTCTCAAATGTATAAAAATACATATTTGAAAATGATCACCATGGTGGGATTACGAATTTTTTAATACTATAATTTTATGTTTTTCCCAAATAGTATGTATAGCTTTCATAAAATAATTTTAAAACAAGGTATGTATACATCCTAATTCTATTGTGCCACTGTTTTAACTTTTCTACAATGAACATCAGTAACTTGGAAGAAAAAATGAAGCGTAAAATGTATTTTAAATGCATGAGCTACAATGAAATATTGCTTGACTTTTTCATTTAGGCAAGGTAATTTTTTTCTTTTCCACTGGCAGCAGTCCCAAGCCCAGCCATGACTGAGACCACAGCCCAGAGACAGAGCTTTCAAGGTGCCAGCTCAGTTTATGAGCCAAGTTTCTGTTCTTTTCTGCATGTGTTTATGTCTTTTCTTTTTAAAATACAGTATTTGGCCTGTGGTGAAACCATTAATTCTATGAGCTCATTAAATAAAGATCATTTCTCCTTTATTAAGCAGATGAGCTTAGCTTCTGTTTGGTGGCATGGCTTTCTCTTACTTATATTTTTCTGTTTAGCCTTGTTATAATGCTCATCTGGATCATGCATCTTAATAGTAAGCTGCCAGTGGGCATGGTGGCTTACGTCTATAATCCCAGCACTTTGGGAGGCTGAGGCAGATGGATCACCTGAGGTCAGAAGTTCTGGACCAGCCTGGTCAATGTGGTGAAACCCTGTCTCTACTAAAAATACAAAAAATTAGCCAGTGATGGTGGTGGGCACCTGTAATCCCAGCTACTTAGAAGGCTGAGGCAAAAGAACTGCTTACACCCAGAAGGCAAAGGTTGCAATGAGCTGAGATAGTACCACTGCACTCCAGCCTGGGAAACAAGAATGAAACTCCATCTCAAAAAAAAAAAAAAAAAAAGTAAGCTGCCTTTCAGGTTTCTAATCACAAAATAGTTCATACAGTGGTATACAATAAAGTTATTTAAAAACCTACAAGTATTGATAAATGATTTTCAAATTATGTGAAGAAAGCAAGGTCCGTAACAGTGTATGCAGCATGCTGCCATTTATATAACAAAAGAGGGAACTACATAAGCATGTATGTGTATAGAGTATCTTTGGAAGGAAATTTTAAAAACAGGGAACAGTGTTGGTCTCTGGGAAGAGGAAACTGGAGATAATTAGGAAGAGGCTTAAGTTTCATTTTATGCCCCTTTGTGTCTGTGTTTAAATTGTTTGCCATGTATATTTTTATTGCTTTTTTTGGTATGTTTTTAAAAAATTAGATGTTTTTAAAGTGTTTTTACAGGATGGTAGAGTAAAAATTTTAAATAAAGCACATAAGCAAAGGCAAGTCACAAGAGAAAATATCTGCTTTGTTAGACAACAGACCTTAGTGTTGGGACTTGATCTGAGAACTGCCAAACTTTAGGATATTTGAAATTTAGTCACTCAATCTTTTATGGTTACTTTTTATCTAATGGTCAGCGGCTAATGCTCTGAAAACCAAAAACAGGGCCAAAAACTCTGTGTACTAATCTCCCTATCTGCAGGAGCATATTTAGAGATATGTGGCCAATCACATTTTGTCTTTTCTCTCTTTGAAAGTTGGTAGAATATTTTCTACTAATGGAGGAGCTGTGACAATCAACCAATCCTTGTTAAATGATTTCAGAATAAAGCTAAGTGTTGTCTGAGAGGTGAGGAGGAGGAAGAAAGAGTGATTTTTCTCAAAATGGCCTGTTACTTCGTATTCAGAAGTTCTAAACTGAAGTGCTATTTGATGAGGGAAGCCCCTGAGCCCACTAAGCCCCAGAGCTTGACAGAATTAGCACACCCAATAAAATACAGAATAACCTAATCAGAACACCCACCTGTTTCTCAGACACAAGGAGCAAAGCACCAAACTTCCATAGGCCTCAGTGAATTTCTGTAAAGCCCTCAGCCCCGCACCTGGCTCAGTGAATTTCTGTCTGGCTTCAGCAGCAGAGAACAGCTTTTCAGCAATCTGCTCAGGAAAGCCAATAAGGGAATCAATGTGATCCACATTGTCGGAGATGAAACCCAGGACAAGGCTGAAGAGGGATTTGGCCGAGTACCGAAGATTCCCCTCCCGGGTGTATGTGAAGATGAAATGATCAGTCTTCTCTTTCTGCGCAGTGTCGTCTTCCCTGTTCATGCAAAGCTCCACAGAAAAGCCTTTGGGAAACAGTCTGAAAGGCCTTGGCTTCTGCAGGCTACTCCTGACACCATCCAGAGCCAGATTGACCATGTGCAGCTGCCCATTTTCTCGCACGTAGATGGGCCCCGGGTCCAGGTGGCTTTCTGAGCTGAGGTAGTAAGACATCGCCTTGGTTTCCACTGTAAAAGCACAGCATACGGAAGCAAACCCAATTAAAATGCCACTTGTAACATGTAACTTCATCTTGCTGTGCCCAGGGCTTTATGAGCCTACCAGGCAGGCCTGGTGGCTGGTTTAGGAAAAGCAAAACTCATCAGCTGCCTGGGAGCTTTGGCATTCAAGTGCCTCTATTGCCTCTACCTGGAATGCCCCTTCCTATTCTCCCCCTTTTCTGGTCTATCTGGCCATCTCCTACTCATCTGTTAAAATCCAGGTCAAGACTGAACACAGTGGCTCATGCCTATAATCTCAGCACTTTGGGAGGCCGAGATGGGCAGATCACCTGAGGTCAGGGGTTTGAGACCAGCCTGGCCAACATGGTGAACTCCGTCTCTACTAAAATTACAAAAATTAGCCAGGTGTGGTGGCATATGCTTGTAGTTCCAGCTACTGGGGAGGCTGAGGAAAGAGAATCACTTGAACCCAGAAGGCAGAGGTTGCAGTGAGCCAAGATCATGCCATTGCAAAACCCAGGTCAAAATCTCATCTTTAAAATTCAAGCTGAGGAAGTTGTCACAGATGTTAGCAAAGATTCATTTATGCGTAAATTCATGGCAGCAAGTTTGTATTAGCAAAACAATGAGAAAACAACTTAAATGTCCAACAATTGGGATGTTAATAAATGCGTATGACTTATACATACCATGGAATGTTATAAAGCCATTAAAATTATAAATTTTTAAAAAACATATTTACACACAGAAAAAAAAGACTAGACATAAGTAACTCCCTTGCTAGCTTGACACATTCCACACACTTCTTGGTTGCACTTGGCTCACTGTTGTATTTATTTGTTTCTGAGTCTGCCGTCTGCTACTTTGAGCTGCTTGAGAGGGAGCACATTTAATTCTTGCAGACTCTGTAACACAGTGCTCTGGCATCTTACAGTCCCTGAGCAGATACTATGGAACCAATGTTTACTCGTTTGCTGAACTTTACAAAGACCAAAAGCAACAGGATTTTGTTTTTAAATCTACAAATAAACACCTCCATTCCAAAAGCTAAGTAAAAGCTATTCTAGCCTTTGGAAACATCTTATCTATTAAAGTTCTATTAGGGCAGTTTTAAGATAAAAAAGTAAAAAGTTGGGCATTTCTGCAGTCATCTGGGTAACAGTATGTGCCCAAGAACTAACTGGAATAAATACTTGTTTTCCTGAATAACTGTGAGGTTTCAAAATACATGAGAAATTGCTATGTTAAATAAACTGAAGGTATTTGATGATCATTTTTACAATTTAAAGGGAGAAGAGAGGTAGACTATAACACAGGCCTGATGTTATCCCTAAAATAATCTGAGTTTTAGAGTGAACCAACTCAGCTTCTTCTGCATCAATGTAGGGCCACAATGTGGCCCTAAAGCCACTTATAAGTGTCAGCAAACAAGTCAGTGACCAAAAATGCTGAGTCTCTGGAGATGAAACAATGATCCTGTTTGTGGGAATCAGTACTATCCATGTTTCTCTCAGGGATAATGATGTGTCTAGAAGCACATGAGAAGAGCACTCTGCCTAGCTCTAGAGCTTCACCCTTTCCTGCTCGTCTCCTACGTACGTACTACTCTTTGCTCCTGTCATACTACCCAGGTAAACTGGCCACGCTCTTATGTCCCACTGGCCATCGCCCGTTCTGTCCCCTTTAGTTGGAACATCCTTCTTTGCCTCCCTGACCTAGCTAATTCCTACTCATCATTAACATCGTCCCTCTTGCGGGATGATGCACAAGTACATGCCTGTCCGGTTTTCCCAGAGCACCCAGTGTCTCCTACATAGCACTTAGGACCATGTACTATGTTCACTTGTTAATGTACCCAGAGTGGTGAGCTTTTCGAAGGCAAGGCACTTATTTGGTTCATCTATCTTTCCCAGGCCCGACACAGTGCCTAGTACTATGTAAGCCCTCAAAAGATATTTGATGAACTGTATGAGAGGAAGGGTAAGACCTCAAAGGACAAACTTAGTGCTCTGACTTGCAGGGCCTGCTGATACTGTTGCTAGGAGCCAGCTCCTTTTCCAGGCAACAGCTGCAGGCTCCTCCCCCACTTGCCAGACTCTTCCGCAGGTGGCAGAGGCAAAGCAAATGATGGCAGTATATTGCTACTGGTACTACAAGGAGAGGGAGACAACTAAACTAAAAAACAGGGGAAAAAAATCCTGTCACAGTGCCAGCTCTTATAACCCATACTTTTCTCCTGCCAGCATTTACAGTGCCTGCTGCTAAGGAGAAGCCTCATTTATTCTGAGCTCTTCTTCCAGTGGGGCTGAGCATCTGGACCCTCCAACCTTGCAGAAATTAATTTTGATTGAGGAAGTAAAGCAGATGTCCTTTAGTCTTTATCCCCGTCATTTAACATTCAGAGCTCTACTCTACCTGTAGATCAGAAAGCAGACACTAGGGATGTCCCTAAAAAGGAATGATGTGATTTTAACAACAGAAAGACAAATTCTATGCAAGATACTCTATTATAGTGGATCAATACGCTGTGAACTCCCTGAACAATGAAACAGGGTCTGCCCATCTGTACTGCCCCAACCCTCACCCCAATAGTGCCTTCCACAAACTCTGCAGTAGACAAATGGATGAATGAATGGATGGGTGGGTGACCACTTCAAATGAAAATTAGAAGTCTGATTCCATCCAACATAGGACACAAGCAGCTTTGGGCCAGATTAAGGACCCAAGCCCAGGCTCCTCAAAATCCTGGCAGCTTTGGCTTCCAGAGATCATTTATTTTAAAAAGGCACAGTACTGGCGGTTTTTTAAATTTTTCTTTAAATTACCTATCAAATGCCATTTCTCTTTCTAAATGAGGAAAAAATAAATATAATTATTTCCTGGAGAGCAAACCCATATCATCTGTCCAGAAGCCACCTGAGAAATTGACTTTGGTTCAGGGAATCCTGGTGGCCTTTAATTTCTACTACTAAATCAGCACATCCTGCATTCTCCCAAAAAGGAGCTTCTTGAGAGTCTGTGAGGTACTATAACATGATCTAGCATTAAATTAATATTTGAACCCTTTAAGGCTAAGGACCAGAAAGGCAAGAGAATTCTACACAAAACTTCAGTACTTGGATTCATTTGCCCCTTGCTATAGTACAGGGTGGTGTATTACAAATGGACAGGGCCTGTTCTAAATTGTAGTAAAAACCTCATCCAAATAGAAAAACTAAAATACTTAGTCACTGCAGCAACAACAATGTCCAGTGTAGATCGTAGCAGCTGTATTATATGTTGGATCAAGAGTAACACCAACATTCTGATAGTCTCCCAGCCTGCTACAGAGAGGCAGCTTTGTAATCCAAACGACAGCATAGAAAAATATTACAATCGTGCATGTTCTAGCATTTGTTCACAAGTGAGCCAAAGTTACCACAAAGTGTACCATTTCATCAAATGAATGAAGCATAGCTGTATTACATTAAAAACTCAGTTCTACACAGCTTCCTTGAAAGAGGCCAGATAAAACTGATACTACACATGATAGTTTTTTAGACCTTGAATCCAGTTTCCCAAGCAAAAAGCATGACTATCCCAGTCAGGTGGACTGGGGTTGTTGGGGAGCCCACAGGGTAAAATTGTAAGCTGAATCTATAGCTAATTTGAGGAGAAAAAGAAGAAAATACCTAACTTCAGTAGGTAAAGTAAGATAAAAATCCCCTAAGAATAGTAAGTTATGGTAATGGCTCTGATGTTTAATGGTACTGGGTGATGGCTGCCATTTATGAAGCACCCACCAGTTGCCGAGCACTGTGTTAGGTACTATATAAAGTGATCTCATGTAAGCTTTAATGATCCTATGAGGTCAGTATTGCCTTTTAATAGACAGAGACCCACAGAAATAAAATAACTTACTCTAGAACAGACCTAGTAAGTGGCAGAGCCAGAATTCAATCTCAGGGCCGCATTACTCCAAAGCTCAAGCCCTTTCCTTGGCATGATACTGTTTCTCAAGAATAAAAATATGACATCATCCTTAAGGATTAAAAAAAAAAACGTTAAAAATTAATCTCACCCACCTGTTTGATCCCTCTAGTATTCACTGATTGAAACCTGGGAGAAGGGGGAAGGGGGCAGGGATAAGATTTAAAAACAACAACAACAACAGTGCACATCTGAGGAAAGAGCTTGTGGGAACACAGCCAGGACAGCAACGAGGCTTCCCTTCTTCCCTCTGCCAGGCTCGATATGAGCCACATCCATATACCAAGAAAACATCTGCCAACCCACGGCCTTCATTCCAAGGCTGCAGACACTTTTGGTTTATCTGAAAACGCAGTATTCTTAAGAAAATTTCTTGGGCCGGGCGCGGTGGCTCAAGCCTGTAATCCCAGCACTTTGGGAGGCCGAGGCGGGTGGATCACGAGGTCGAGAGATCAAGACCATCCTGGTCAACATGGTGAAACCCCGTCTCTACTAAAAATACAAAAAATTAGCTGGGCATGGTGGCGCGTGCCTGTAATCCCAGCTACTCAGGAGGCTGAGGCAGGAGAACTGCCTGAACCCAGGAGGCGGAGGTTGCGGTGAGCCGAGATCATGCCATTGCACTCCAGCCTGGGTAACAAGAGCGAAACTCCGTCTCAAAAAAAAAAAAGAAAATTTCTAACATAAAAACCTAAGCAGAAACTAAACTATGAGTAGTTCTAAACTACCAATAACCAACAATCCACCTTCATTGTTCTGTGTGTTCCCATTCTTCAATTTTCAACTTTCCTCACTACTTTTTTCCTATAATATGCACTTTTCTACCTGCCTTCTCACCCATCCCCTTTCCTCTCTCAGGCTCTCTACTCCCCACCAAGAACATGCCAATCTCTCCCACATCGTGACACTCTTAGCAATCAGCGCCTCTCACACCAAAAATCCTAACCCTACTCCCTTCCCCCACCCCAGCTCCCCCGCCCTCCTCAACCCTCAGACCCTTCCAGCTCCTCCTGTTCCTGCTGAAAGGTGGCTTGCTGTCCCACAGACCCAACCTTCCAACCTCCCATCTCCCAACCTTCACCTGCCTCCCTTTCCTTCCCCACACTCCTCCACCCCCACTCCTCCTCTCCTTCTACAGCTATTCTTCCCTTCTTCCCACTCCACGGGCTTCCCTCTCCTAGGACTCCAAGCTCTCCATCCCTTTCCTTGCCCTCTGTTCTCAATCTTCAAGACCCCCTTCCATCACCTCTAACTATCCCCAACTTTGCACTCCACATCCCCAACTTCTCTTCCCTGCCCCCAAGACGCCACCCTCTGCTCTATTCCTATCTTTTCCTTCCTGCACCCCTAAAATCCCATTCCCTTTCCCCCTTCCCCAGGACAGCAATCCTTTGTCCCGCTCTCTCCCACCCATACCTCTCCCAGAGTCCACCCAGGGTAATCCTGTTCCCTATACCACCCTGGTCCCAAATCCCAATTCTCATACTGCCCCCGCACCCCTACCCAACCCCTAAACCCATCGCCCACACGCGTATATCCTCATTCTCTCCTCAACCCGCCCCCTGCCGTCCCTCCCGGGCTTCCCCTCCCCCACCCCTCCCACCCCTCCCCCTCCCTAACACCCCGCCCCCGCTCCCGCACGCCGCCCCGGGCCCCGCGAGCCGTCCGGCCCGCGGCCGCCACCTACCTGTGCCCCTCCCCGGGGCAGCGAGCGGCAGCTCCTCGGTGGCGGCTCCCTCCTCCCGCGGCGCGGCTGACGGGGAAAGAGCCCGGCACCCCAGGCACAAAGCTAGGGAGGGTGGGACACGGCGACGGTGAGAAGAGGGAGGAGGCTGGGGGCAACCTGGCGCCGTGGGACCGCGGAACCGGCGGGGGCGGGGGCAAGGCTGGGACAGGGAGACGCGCGTGCGCGGACCCCGGCATGAAGGCGGGGCCGGGCCTGGAGGCGGGGCCGGGCCCCGGGCAGGCGACCCGAGGGCCGACGGTGCGGAGCTGGCAGAGGTGGGCACTGCGCGCGCGTACTCATGGGAGTACTCATGGGCGGCTCCCCTGGGTTTTGTGGGCCCCGGGGGTAGAGCCGAGCTGAGGGAGGGTAAGGGTAAGCAGAGCGCGCTCTGGGGCTGGCCTGGGGAAAGGCGCTCGGGCGGGGTTGCGCATCTTGGCCCGCGAAGTCAAAGGAGCCGAAGTGGGCGGGGCCGAGGGTGGGGCGGGGCCTGCGGGAGGCGTGGCGCGAAGAGCTTCGGGTGGGAGCGAGCGCACCCGGGAACTCCGCTGAGGCCGCGATGAGGGGGCGGAGCCTGTGGGAGGCGTGGCGCGAAGAGGTCGGAGTTGGACGCGCGCGCCCGGGGACTCCCGAGGACGCCGCGGGGAGAGGGGTGGAGCCGCGGGCCGGGACGCGCTGCGTGGGGCGGGGAGCAAGGGAGGTTTCCAGCCCCGGTGGTCTGGCGCCCGGAGCTAACTGGAGTCTCAGGCGAGCGGGTTGCGGGGCGAGCGGGTTGCGGGGCGAGCGGGCTGGCACCAGCGGATGTGGGGGCCTGGCCGGGCAAGGCAGAAGGAAGGGGATGCTGTTGGGAAGGGAGCAAGAGTGGAGGGGTGGTGAAGAGACGCGCGGCGGGAGGCGCAGAAGGGCCGTCGCGGGCCGGCCTTCTCCTCTAGGCCCTGGAGTCGCCAGTGCCAGCCCACTAAGCTCTTTGGGGCCAGAAATAGCGTCTTGACCAAAAGGGAAAACCAGTTGCAAGTCGAAATTAATTAGTCTACCAAAATGTAAGCGGTCAGCCGCAACGTAACCCCTCTAGCTATGAGTTATACCTAAGGTTGGGGGCAATTTATTAATATATTCTTTACATAATTTGGGGCGTGGCCTCCGCAAATCGAGGCTTTAGGGCCCTCGAAGATCTCCACCCGGCCTTGGACTGAGGAGGATTTGGGTGGAGGTGAGAAGGTGGTGCCAGGGCTGGTTTGTCTTGAAGGCCGTGGCCCTGGCCCCGTGGAGTCCGAAGCCATAGGCCGGGTCCGTGTTTTCTAAAGTACGCCAGGTTCCCAATGGATGATGCTTGGCAGAGGGTGTGAGGAGTCCAGCTGTAGCAACAGAAGCAAGACGCTGGTCAGGGAGAATGTCCTCTGAGGACTTGACCTGGAGAGGTTTGGGGGAAAAAGGACCACAAAGGGCATGTGAGCTGGCGATGAAAGGCTGAACTGGGGATGAAACCAGTGGCCCTGGTTTAGAAGACAGGATAAGGCATCAGGGAAGTCCAGGGTCAGGGATTGTAAAAAATGGAAAGGATAGCACCCTAGAGTGTACCACCTTTGGTAAACTGCAGCCCTGAGGAAATTGCCTTGTTCTAAAGGGGTGGAGGATTAGACTGCCTCCCAAACTTGCACTTTTCTTTTTTTTCAGTCGCCCAGGCTAGAGTGCAATGACGCGATCTCGGCTCACTGAACCTCTGCCTCCTGGGTTCAGTCGATTATCCTGCCTCATCCTCCCAAGTAGCTGGGGTTACAGGCGCCTGCCACCATACCCGTCTAATTTTTATATTTTTAGTAGAGACGAGGTTTCACCATGTTGGTCAGGCTGGTCTTGAGCTGCTGGCCTCAAGTGATCCGCCCGCTTCCGCCTCCCAAAGTGCTGGGATTACAGATTCCAGCCACCAGACCCAGCTAATTTTTGTATTTCTAGTAGAGAGAGTTCAGGGATTTTACCATGTTGCCCAGGCTGGTCTCGAACTTGTGAGCTCCAGCGATCCGCCCACCTCAGCCTCCTAAACTGCCAGGATTATAGGCGTGAACCACAGCACCTGGCATTGTATGGATTTCTCTAAGGTTAGTTTGCCTCTTTTCATTAAGTGCAACAAAAGAACCTTAAAGAAAACCCAGTCTCTGCCCATTTCTACTTAAGTAATTCTACCCAAAACAGGAAATAGGAAGATATACGAGGTATGAAATGGGTTTTGTATTAAAGCATGTGTTTGCCTCTCTCAGAAATCTTAGATAATTAAGAATGTGAGGTAAGAAAAGAACTGAACATTTGGAGAGTACATTCATTCCTATTCATCTGCTCTGTATCAACCCTAAAGTGTTAACGCTTTTTAAAAAACAAGTTTGGCCAGGCACAGGGGCTCACACCTGTAATCCCAACACTTTGGGAGGCAGAGGTGGGCAGATCACGAGGTCAACATGGTGAAACCCCGTCTGCACGAAAAATACAAAAATTAGCCTGGCATAGTGACACACGCCTGCACTCTCAGTTACTCGGGAGGCTGAGGCAGGAGAATCACTTGAATCCGGAAGGCGGAGGTTGCAGTGGGCTGAGATACTGCATTCCAGCCTGGCGACAGAGTGAGAATCTGTCTCAAAAACAAACAAACAAAAAAACAAAAAACAAAAAAAAACAGGTTCTCGGCTGGGTGCAGTGACCTCGCTCCTGTAATCCCAGCAGTTTGGGAGGCCGAGGCAGGCAGATAACTTGAGCTCACGAGTTAGAGACCAGTCTGGAAACACGGCATAACCCATTTCTACAAAACAAAAAAATTAGCCGGGCATGGTGGTCCCTGCCTATAGTCCCAGCTGCTAGGAAGGCTGAGATGGGTAGATCGCTGAGCCCGGGAAACAGAGGTTGCAGTGAGCCAAGACTGTGTCATTGCATTCCAGCCTGGGCCATAGAGTACTGCTTGGTTTCCCCAGCTTGACTCTGTTTATACTTGGGACCAGTAATTACTTGTGGGGTGCTGTCCTATATGTGATGGTATATTTAGCAGCATTGTCCCTCCCGAGTTGTGACCCTAAAACTTTTCAGGTTTTGTGAAGTGTCCTTGGAGGCCAAAATCTACTCCCAGTCCAGTTTAGAACCACTGGAGTATGGAATAAAGTCCATTGCTATTAACCTGGCTTTTCAGATCTTTCATTATCTATTCCCAACCCACCTTTCCTAGAATTTGGCTCAGCCTAAGAGAACTGCCAATGCAGGAATCCTTTCTTTGGCTTCCTCCACAGATTATGATCTTTTATTGACTCTTCTTGGACATTTTCAGGGATGAAAGAAATTTTAAAACTTTCCTTTGCAAGAAAATCCTTATCTCTCCAATGTCTTCCTGCTTAAAATGTGCATTTGTTGAGTCCAATTCACACTCCTAGAGGTGTTAAAAAAAAAAAAATTTAATCCTTTTTCCATTTGTGAGCACTGCTGAGTAAAAATCGTAATGACATTTATATTTTTCACCTTTCTCTATGATCATGAACTTTTTACTCTCCTCTCAACAATATCAAGCCTGACAATGTCCTGCTTAAAACGTACTACCCAGAACCGAACACAGTATTCTGGATGTGCATCATGCTGTGTTAGCACATGGTATATTATATTGTTAGTTGCATGCTTGTTCATCTTCCTTGACTCTGAGCTTGAAGGCAGGAACAAAGTCTTAGTCACTTAGGTTGTTTCATCTTTGCAATACTAGCACAGTGCTTGGCCCTTAGTTCAATTGGTGTTCAAAAATGTTGATGGAATGTGGTACCTCTATAAGACAGCATTCTATTACCTTTAGGGGCAGTACACTGTTACCTTATATTGACTTTGTGATCAACCAAACCTATATGTTTTATACATCTATATCAGAGGTTGGCAAACTTTTTTGTCAAAGGCCAAATAGTAAATATTTTCGGTTTTATGGGCCTTATAGTCTGTCACAGTGACTCAGCTATGTCACTGTAACGTATAATCAGCTATAGACAATATATAAGCAAATGAATGAGCATAGCTACTTTCCAATATGCATGAACATTAAAATCTGAATTTCATGTAATTTTTATGTGTCAGAATATTTTAATTTTTAAAAAATATTATTAAATGTTAAACACATTTTTAGCTTGTGGGCCATACAAAAACAGATGGCAGGCTTGATTTGGCTCACGGGCAGTAGTTTGCTAACTCCTGATTTAGACCAACCCTTGTATGATTGATTTTTTTCAAGACTGAGTATAGGCTTTTACTTTTATCCTTATTAAATATCTTACTCATTGCAAGCCATCTTTCTAGCTTGCTCATTTTTTTTTTAATGCTAATTCTGTCACCCAGCATATCAGCTGACATCCCAGCTTTGTATCTGCTAAATTGATAAGCATACTTTGTACATCTTAATTAATAAAAATGTTAAGTAGGAAATCACGTCCTCCACAAGTTCGGTTTCTTCCATTAATCATCATTCTTTTGAGTACTGCCTTTCACCCAATTCATGTTTCTCTGTCAGGTCCACGGGGTATCTTGAGAGGCTTTGTCTGAAGCTTTGTTGAAATGTTTAGAACATGCTCGAAATGGGTAGGAACTCCATCAGACAAACAGAAATGTATAGCTTTGGTATAGCCTGTAAACTAATGTTACTCCTACTTCCAATTTTAGTACTTCCTTGTTTACATTTTCAAGGCCACCATTTTAATAATGAAATTTAATAATTTTAGGGTTTTGTTGAGAATTAGCATCCAAGTTTATCAATCTGTATTTATAGAATTCACTGTCTTTCTCATCTTAAAACTAAGGGTTGACAGTGTTCATCCCACACTGACCGGTTCTCTGGTATCAATAGTGTTAAAAGCTGTGGTAAGATTGGTAGAGAAAACAGGCACAAAAAAATTTAGAATAAGGCCGGGCGCGGTGGCTCAAGCCTGTAATCCCAGCACTTTGGGAGGCTGAGGCGGGTGGATCACGAAGTCGAGAGATCGAGACCATCCTGGTCAACATGGTGAAACCCCGTCTCTACTAAAAATACAAAAAATTAGCTGGGCATGGTGGCGCGTGCCTGTAATCCCAGCTACTCAGGAGGCTGAGACAGGAGAATTGCCTGAGCCCAGGAGGCGGAGGTTGCGGTGAGCCGAGGTCGCGCCATTGCACTCCAGCCTGGGTAACAAGAGCGAAACTCCGTCTCAAAAAAAAAAAAAAAAAAAAAAATTTAGAATATATGTGTTTTTTCTTACTAATGTTACTACACTTTTACTACTATCAATACTAGTTTTTAAAGTATAATACAAAGTAAACTTTATGCTAATAAAAACTAAGAATAAATGCATTTTAATAAAATACTGATATTGGCCAGGCACAGTGGTGCATGCCTTTAATCCCAGCACTTTCAAGGGCTGAGGCAGGAGGATCACTTGAGGCCAGGAGTTTTAAGACTGGCCTGTGCAGCATAGCAAGACCCCATCTCTACAGAATTTTTTTTTTTTTTTGAGACATAGTCTCTCTCTGTTGCCAGGCTGGAGTGCAGTGGCATGGTCTCGGCTCACTGCAGCCTCTGCCTCCTGAGTTCAAGTGATTCTTCTGCCTCACCCTCCCAAGTAGCTGAGATTACAGGTGTGTACCACCACGCCCAGCTAATGTTTGTATTTTTAGTAGAGATGAAGTTTCAATCTTCATGTTGGCCAGGATGGTCTCAATCTCTTGACCTCATGATCTGCCCCCCTCAGCCTCTACAGAAATTTTTAAAAAAATTAGCCAATCATGGTGGCATACCTGTAGTCCTAGCTGCTTGGGAGGCTACGGTAGGAGGATCACTTGAGCCCTAGAGTTCAGGGCTGTAGTGAGCCATGATTGCTCCAGTGCACATCAGCCTTGGTGACAGAGTGAGACTCTGTCTCTAAAAAAAGTAAATTAATGAAAAAATTTAAAAAATGTAAGTAGGGAAATTTACCTTGCCAGATGTTAACAGTTTATACCCTCTTCTGTCATTTTGCTTTTAGTCTGTATCTTTATATTTAGAATGTGTCTCTGGAAAACAGTATTTAGTTGTTGGTTTGTTTTTTTTTAAAATTTAATCGAATAATTGAGTGTTTAGTTTATTAACACTTAATGGAATAATTGATGTATTTTGATTTAAATCTGTGTTCTTGCTATTTTCTATTTGTCCCATTTTTCTTCTTTTGTTTCTCTTTTTCTGCCTTCTTTCGGATTAATCCAGTATTTTTATGGTATTCCATGTTCTTCTCCTCTGTTGAACATCTTCTGGTGCCTCAGTGTTTCGTTTTTTTGTTTGGTTAGGGTAGTCAGGGACTTATTTTGTGGAGCAGAGTAGCAGAAATAGTCACGTCTTATAGATTATCCCTGGGAGAGCTTTCTTATGTAAACAAACATGTTAGAGTCCCTCCTACATGTTAAATAGCTTGGGTGTTAAACTATCTGCTAGGCAACAGCCTTTCCTTCTCACTTGGTTTTCTCAGATAAAGTTTAGAGAATCAAGAAGTTGCTTTTTTTAAATTATTTTTTAATTTGCAGGTTAAACACTTTAAGATGAGAAAAACTGAACTCTGTCTGAGCTCTGAAGGGTCGGAAGTGATTTTAGCTACATCAAGTGATGAGAAACACCCACCTGAAAATATCATTGATGGGTAAGAGTTACTATAGCTTGTTGTTTTCGGTCTTAAGTCAGTGAATCCCTTGAGTATTTGGACTGTGTTTTATAACAACTTGCCCTATTAAACAGAGTTTAGTAAATGTTTGGTGGATTACCTGATATCCACTTTTGGTACCATTTCTGAAACTAATTCACTTGTGTATATTTAGGTTTTTGATTCTTTTCTTTGTAATTCCTAAACTGAACTCTTTATACAAATAGGTTTTTTTAGAAGTGGTTTACCAAGGCAAAAACACAACAACTTCATTTTATGGAAGTATAAAGTTTAAGGTCTGGTTATGGTTTTACTCCAGGTTTTTCTTGGAATAAGAATGTAAATATTGTAACTTCCTGTTTACTACCTGTTTCCTTACTGGTCTAAGTAACATCTTTGCAGAACTGAATACTTCATTCCCTGCTATCATGTATTGTTTGCTTCTCCCCTTTTTTGATATCCTTCCAATTTCTTCTCTTCACTGTGCTAGAGCTTTTTCTAGGTAGATATTTTTCTAAATATTGTTTTTAGACTTCTAATTCCAAGAAAAAGCAGTTAATGGGAGAACTCCTTTTTTAATAGTTCTGGCTTATTACTTTCTTGAACCCTCTTTCTTGGTATATGTACAATGACTAGAGTTTGACTCCTAGAACCACCTGATTTTAGGGCTGGAGGGACTTATGGGTTTATTTTGCCAAAACCCTTTATTTTAGACTTGTGGTAAGAGAGGTCTAAAGAAGTTAAGTACAACTTTTAATTATTGAAGGCAGAACCAGTTGTAACAGAGGTTTCATGATTCTTTATATATCTTGAAGCCCACATATCTGGATGAAATTCTAGCAACTCAACCTCTTCCTTGAAGTCTAGTTGTAATCTTTATGACAACTGACTTTTCTGCTCAGATAGGATCATCTATCTGCTGGGCTCCAGTAACATCTGGTACATACCTCTGTTGCCTTACTTTTTCCTTTATTGTATTGTTTACTTTTACTGTTTGTTCCTTCTCTCAACTGTGAATTCCTGGAAGTCAGAGACTATTTCTCTGAGTCAAACTGGAATAATATTGGAAAATAATCATAGTCTACACACACGCACACACATAAAAACACATTTATATGCATATAAATTACTATACTTTTGCATGTAGGGCTTTATAATTTCATGGATAGTATGTCAGTTGACCCTTTACAATTCCATTGTAAAGATTAAGAAAAGAATGATCAGGGCTGGGTGTGGTGGCTTACGCCTGTAATCTTAGCACTTTGGGAGGCTGAGGTGGGTGGATCACAAGGTCAGGAGTTCGAGACCAGCCTGACCAATATGGTGGAACCCTGTCTCTACTAAAAAATATAAAAATTAGCAGGATGTGGTGGCATGTGTCTATAATCCCAGCTACTCAGGAAGCTGAAGCAGGAGAATCACCTGAACCCGGGAGGCGGAGGATGCAGTGAGCCAAGGTCGCCCCACTGCACTCCAGCCTGGGTGACAGAGTGAGACTCCATCTCAAAAAAAATAGATCAGATGACCTGCAAATAAAAATGACTTGCTCTTGGCAACAAAAGCCAAAATAGACAAATGGGACCTAATCAAACTCCACAGCTTCTGCACGGCAAAAGAAACAGTCTTTAGAGTGAATCGGCAACCAACAGAATGGGAAAAAATTTTTGCAGTCTACCCATCTGACAAAGGGCTGATATCCAGAATTTACAAAGAACTAAAACAGATCTACAAGAAAAAAACAAACAAGCCCATTCAAAAGTGGGCGAAGGATATAAACAGACACTTTACAAAAGAGGACATACAGGAGGCTAACAAACATATGAAAAAAATGCTCATCATCACTGGTCATTAGAGAAATGCAAATCAAAACCACATTGAGATACCATCTCACACCAGTTAGAATGGCGATCATTAAAAAATCTGGAGACAACAGATGCTGGAGAGGGCGTGGAGAAATAGGAACACTTTTATACTGTTGGTGGGAGTGTAAATTAGTTCAACCATTGTGGAAGACAGTCTGGCAATTCCTCAAGGACCTAAAAATAGAAATCCCATTTGACCCAGCAATCCCATTACTGGGTATATATCCAAAAGATTATAAATTATTCTACTGTAAGGACACCTGCACACGAATGTTCATTGCAGCACTGTTTACAATAGCAAAGACCTGGAACCAACCCAAATGCCCATCGACGATAGACTGGACAGGGAAAATGTGGTACATATACACCATGGAATATTATGTAGCCATCAAAAATGATGAGTTCGTGTCCTTTGTAGGGACATGGATGAACCTGGAAACCATCATCCTCAGAAAACTGACACAAGAGCAGAAAATCAAACACCACATGTTCTCACTCATAGGCAGGTGTTGAACAATGAGAACACATGGACACAGGGAGGGGAGCCCTACACACTGGGGTCCATTGAGGGGAAATGGGGGAGGGACAGCGGGGTGAGGAGGTGGGAAGAGAGAGCATGGGGAGAAATGACAGATACAGGTGAGAGGAAGGAAGGCAGCAAACCACACTGCCATGTGTGTACCTATGCAACAATCTTGCATGTTCTTCACAATGTACCCCAAAACCTAAAATGCAATAAAAAAAAAAATGACTTGCTCAAAATTACACAGGTAAGCAAGTGGCAGAATCAACTGACACTTATGTCTTCTAACTTGTTCCTCAGGGATCTTTGTGCTACACTAGGTAAACTCAAACTTAGTTTGTATCAAAAATACAATACCTGCTTTTTGCCTGTGTCTCTTCTTTCTTCTTCTTACTTGTTTACTTCCTGAAATTTAGGTAGTAGTTACTATCCTACTATGACTTGGAGTAGAAAAATTAATATGGGAACTGCTTTAAGGATACACAGAACTATGGAGATTTGCCTTAAGTTGTTTGCCAGAAATAGAGGACTTTCCAGAAACACTCCTGGATTCTGATTGGAGATAGATTAGATAGATTAGTTTTCTTTTTCTTTTCTTTTCTTTCTTTTTTTTTTTTTTTTGGAGACAGGGTCTTACTCTGTCGCCAGGCTGGAGTGCAGTGACACGATCTCGGCTCACTGCAACCTCTGTCTCCGGGGTTCAAGCAATTCCCCTGCCTCAGCCTCCTGAGTAGCTGGGACTACAGGCACACGGCACCACGTCCAGCTAATTTTTGTATTTTTTTAGTAAAGACGGGGTTTCACCATGTTGGCCAGGATGGTCTCAATCTCTTGACCTCGTGATCCGCCCGCCTCGGCCTCCCAAAGTGCTGGGATTACAGGCGTGAGCCACTGCACCCGGCCGATAGATTAGTTTTCCAAGGCAAAATCAATTTACCTTGTAGTGACTTGGTGATCTTTCTCTCATGCGAGTGTGTTTTTATGTTTATAGAACATTAGGATTAGCTATCATATATCGCAATTAATATTTTAGGCTCTGTCAGTGCATTTTAATGAATAAGGACATAATATATTTTAGATTAGACAAAAACTCTTAGTGCAGAAAAACATATGGAATAAAAGTAGTTATCATCCTGGTAACTGAACAGAGTACATTGTGGACTTTTAATCCATATGCACTTCCAGAAAATATAATAAGGCTGTATATTATAGACACTGAAAGTTATTTTCTGGCCAGGCGCAGTGGCCCACACCTATAATCCCAGCACTTTGGGAGGCTGAGGTGGGCAGATCAGTTGAGGTCAGGAGTTTGAGTCCAGTCTGGCCAACTTGGCGAAACTCCGTCTCTACTAAAAATATCAAAAAATTAGCCAGATGTGGTAGTGCACACCCGTAGTCCCAGCTACTCAGAGGCCAAGGCACGGGAATTGCTTGAACCCAGGAGGTGGAGGTTCAGTGAGCTGAGATCATGCCACTGTACTCTAGCCTGACTGACAGAGTGACACTCTCTCAACTTTTTTTGAAAAACAAGAAAAGTTAATTTCTTTGCAGAAGTTGCTTTATCTAAATGGAGTAACCTAGAATTATTTGGAGAAAACAGTGCTATAAATGTGTCCCTACAGGACAATGGAGTATTGTTTTATGGCTCTGCTCCAAACTCTCCATTCCTTCAGAAATAAGAGTTAAATAAATAGCTCGGCATAGTGGCTGAGGCAGGAGGATAGCTTGAGGTCAAGAGTTTGAGACTAGCCGGGCGCGGTGGCTCAAGCCTGTAATCCCAGCACTTTGGGAGGCCGAGGCGGGTGGATCACGAGGTCAAGAGATCGAGACCATCCTGGTCAACATGGTGAAACCCCGTCTCTACTAAAAATACAAAAATTAGCTGGGCATGGTGGCACACACCTGTAGTCCCAGCTACTAGGGAGGCTGAGGCAGGAGAATTGCTTGAACCCAGGGGGCGGAGGTTGCGGTGAGCCGAGATCGTGCCATTGCACTCCAGCCTGGGTAACAAGAGCGAAACCCCGTCTCAAAAAAAAAAAAAAAAAAAAATACAAAAAATTAGCTGGGCATGGTGGCACGTGCCTGTAATCCCAGCTACTCAAGAGGCTGAGGCAGGAGAATTGCCTGAACCCAGGAGGCGGAGGTTGCAGTGAGTCGAGATCGCGCCATTGCACTCCATCCTGGGTAACAAGAGCGAAACTCCGTCTCAGAAAAAAAAAAAAGTTTGAGACTAGCCTGGCGACATAGCAAGACTGCATCTCTAAAAAAAGAAAATGATTGTACTTCTGCTTTTCCTCTGCCCTCTGTGTTTAATGTATCAATGAAAAAGGGAGAAGAGATTCTACACTAGGAAAAAAGAGAGTCAAGAAAAAAGGAAGAGAGAGAATCAGTCCTTTTGGTGTAGTATAGAATAATACTATATTTAGAATTAAAATTTGTGGGTAAGTGAACTATGTGTTATCTTGATCAAAGAGTATAGGCCAGGCACAATGGCTCATGCCTGCAATCCCAGCACTTTGGGAGGCTGAGGCAGGTGGATCACGAGGTCAGGAGTTTGAAACCAACCTGACCAACATGGTGAAACCCCATCTCTACCAAAAATACAAAAATGAGCTGGGCATGATGGTACATGCCTGCAATCCCAGCTACTCAGAAGGCTGAGGCAGGAGAATCACTTAAACCCAGGAGGCAGAGGTTGCAGTGAGCCAAGATCATGCCACTGCACTCCAGCCTAGGTGACAGAGCGAGACTCCATCTCAAAAAAAAAAAAAAAGAAAAAAGAGTATATGAATATATTACTCTTTGAGCCTCCTTTACTGATCTGAAAAATGAGGATAATTCCACCAAAAAAAATCACGAGATAATCTATATAAAATAGGTCTTAGCTATAAATTCGTTTTTAAAAGAAAACTACTACTACTTTGATGACTTCCTTATACATAATTAAAAGGATTTAGTTAGATGTCATTTTAAAATTCAAGTGTATCTCTACATGATATTTTGTTATTCTATTGTTATGTTCATTGAAAGCATCCAAAGAAAAACATAGGGCAATTAAAATTCATTTAATGAATTTCAACAAGTAAAATTTAAAACCATAAATATGAAAGGAGTTTGTAAAATATTAAGCATTTTATTAAAAACCTAGAATTTTGCCGGGCGCGGTGGCTCAAGCCTGTAGTCCCAGCACTTTGGGAGGCCGAGGCGGGTGGATCACAAGGTCAAGAGATCGAGACCATCCTGGTCAACATGGTGAAACCCCGTCTCTACTAAAAATACAAAAAATCAGCTGGGCATGGTGGCACATGCCTGTAATCCCAGCTACTCAGGAGGCTGAGGCAGGAGAATTGCCTGAACCCAGGAGGTGGAGGTTGCGGTGAGCCAAGATCACGCCATTGCACTCTAGCCTGGGTAACAAGAGCGAAACTCCGTCTCAAAAAAAAAAAAAAAAAAACACCTAGAATTTTGAGTTAGGAGATCTGGCCTTGGCTGGGCACAGTTGTTCACACCTATAATCCTAGCATTTTGGGAAGTCAAGGTGGGAGGATCACTTGAGCCTGGAAGTTTGAGGCTACAGTGAGCTATGATTGTGCCAGTGTACTCCAGTCTGGATGACAGAACAAAACTCTGTCTCTTAAAAAAGAAGTAGCTCTGGCTTTTTTTTTTTGTTGTTTTTTTCTTGGTATCAATCTTATTGACATATTGATATACCATACAATTCACCCACTTAGAATGTGCATTTCATTGGCTTCCAGCCTATTCACAGAGTTATGCAGCCATCTCCACAATTGATTTTAGAACATTTTCATCATTCTAGGAAGAAACCCCACAGTTGTTATCAGTCACCCTGTATTTTACCATCCGTACTAGCCCTAGGCAAGCATTAATCTACTTTGTTTCTGTAGATTTTATGTATTGAGACATTTCATATAAATAGAATCATACACATGTGGTCTTTTGTGACTGGTTTCTTTCTTTTATTGTTCATTTGAGACAAAGTCTTACTCTGTCATCCAAGCTGGAGTGCAGTGGTGTAATCTCAGCTCACTCTAACCTCCACCTCCTGAGTTCAAGCAATTCTCATGCCTCAGCCTCCCGAGTAGCTGCGACTACAAGTGTGTACCATTACACCCAGCTAATTTCTGTATTTTTAGTAGAGACAAGGTTTCACCATGTTGGCTGCATTGGTCTTGAACTCTTGACCTCAAGCAACCTACCTGCCACAGCCTCCCATAGTGCTTGGATTACAGGCTTGAGCTACCACACCTGGCCTGGTTTCTTTCACTTACATGTTTTCAAAGTTGACCCATGTTCTAGCATGTATCAGTACCTCATTCCTGTTTATTGTCAAGATTTCATTGTATGGATATAGCACATTTTATTTACGCATTCATCAGTTGATGGACATCTGCTTTGTTTCTACTTTTGAGCAGAATTTCCCCTGATTTTATTTTAAAATACCAACTTATAGATCCAAAAAACTCAGCAAGACCTAAGCTGAATAAATACAGAGATTGTATCTTAGTCAAACTGCTGAAAAAGAAAAAGGAAAAAAAATTAAAATAGGTGGAGGGAAATAAAAACCATTATATACAGAGGAACAACAGTATTAGTGACAGCTGACTTTATATCACAAACAGTGGAAGCCAGACAACAATGGAGCAATATCTTTCAAATACTGGGAAAGGGAGAAACAAGCAAATATTTAAAAACCTGTCAATCCAGAATTCTGTGTCTAGCTAAATGATCTCCCAAAAATGAAGATAGAATAAAGGCATTTTTCATCACAAGTAGACCTGCATCACAAGGAATGCTAAAGGAAATTCTGCAAGTTGAAGAGGTAAAATACTAGCTGGAAAATCAAACCTATAAGAAGTTAAGTGTACTGGAAATAGTAAATATTTGGGTAAATGTAAAAGACTGCCATTTTTCCTCTTTTAATTTTTTTGAACAATAACTGACCACTTAAGGAAAAAATTGTATTATGGGATTTATTGTATATGTAAAATATGTGACAACAAAGGCACAAAAGTGATGTTCAGTGTAAATTGACTATCATGAGGTTATTATGTTGTAACTTAGCAACTGTTTCAAAAATTTCTAATAAAAGGTATAGCTGAAAAAAAGGAATTAAAAGGAATTTAAAAAGAAATTTACTCAGAAACAGGAAAGAAGAAAAGGACAAGAATAGATGGGAGGGACAAAAACGAATAGCAGGATGGTAGATTCACACCCAACCATATCAGTGGTTATGCTAAATGTCAGTGGGGCTAGACACTCCAATTAAGTATCAGAGATTGTCAGACTGGATAAAAAGCCAAGACCCAAATATATATTGTCTAAAAGATATGCACTTTAAATATAAAGATAAGAATAGGTTGAAAATAAAGGGATGAAAGAAGATGCATCCTGTAAACAGTTGACCTAAGAAAATCACCCTAGCCATATTCATAGCAGACAAAGTAGAATGTAAGACAAGGAGCATTACCAGAGACAAAGGGGACATTTTATAATGTTAGAGGGTAAATTCATTAGGAAGAGAGGATAATCCTAAGTGTATTTGGATCTAATAGTAGTTCTTTAAAATACATAAAGCAAAATCTGACAGCTGAAAGGGAGAAATAGACAAATTCACAATTAGAGTTAGAGATTTTAATAGCATTTTAATACCCTTTTCTCAGTAATGATAGAACAATTTGGCAGAAAAGCAATAAAGACATAGATGATCTGAATAGTATCATAACCTCAACTTTGTTGATGGTTAGAGAATACTGTAATCAACAACATGGAACAAGAACATATTGATGGGTTGGGTGTGGTGGCTCATGCCTGTAATCCCAGCACTTTGGGAGGCTGAGGCAGGCAGATCACCTGAGGTCGGGAGTTCAAGACCAGCCTCACCAACATGGAGAAAGCTTGTCTCTACTCAAAATACAAAATTAGCAAGGCATCGTGGTGCATGTCTATAATCCCAGCTACGCGGGAGCCTGAGGTAGAATTGCTTGAACCCAGGAGGCAAAGGTTGTGGTGAGCCGAGATCACACCATTGCACTCCAGCGTGGGCAACAAGAGTGAAACTTCATCTCAAAGGAAAAAAAAAAAAAAGAAAATGGGAGTGCAAATAGTACAACCACTTTGGAAATCTGACAGTTTCTTATAAAGTTAAATATACTTTTACCCTATGTGTCAGCAATTTCACTCTTAGTAATTACCCAGAGAAATGAAAACATGTTCACAAGCACCTGTACAAACCTATCTATAGCAGCTTTGTTCCTAATAGTAAAAAAGTGGAAGCAATTACAATATCCAACAAAATATCAAACAAAATCATGAATAAAAACGTGGCATAGTCTGTGGTGATAGAAATCAAAGCAGTGGTTGTCAAAGGGAGGTAGGGATTTCTGGAAGGAAAGATAAGGGAAATTTCTGGAGTTATGGAAATGTTATATCTTCACTGGAGTATTGCTTACATAAGCATGTACATTTATCAAAACTCATTAAGTTATGCACTTAAGGTGAATTTCACTGTAGGTAAATTTTATTTCCAAAAAAAGAAAAAGCTTATGAAGTTGAAATGATTATTTCTGTAGTCAAAACTATGTATACTATTTTGCCTATATGTGACTTAAAATTGAGTTCACATTTTAATTTTTATTTGAACAAACATTTAGGTTGTCCCTACTATGGGTGAGCCATTGTAGCAGTTGTAGGGTTACAAAGATGAGTAAGGGAAGGAAGCTGGGCTCAAAGAGCTCAGCATTTAGCAGGAGCCATAGAAACAGGAGATTAAGTGCCAATGTAGAAATAGAGGCTGAGTGTGAGATAAGTGCAAAAGAGGGAGTCAGTGATTCTGAATTGGTGGAGTTAGATAAATGAGACCAAAAAGTGAACTTAAAGGGAAGAAGGGTTTTTCAGGTAAAAATAAAACAGTCATGAATGAACCAAGGTCCAGAAGCATGAGCCTGCATTCACGTATTTGCAGAATTTTAAGTGGCCCAATGTGACCACAGTAATGGAAGAGAATATACCTTAATTATGGAACCAGATTATACAGTGTTAAATGCCATACAAAGGAGTTTAGAATTATAGGCAATTAGGGATCACTGAGGCTTTTAAATAGGAATGATATCTGTTCCGTTTCTGTGTTTTAGAAAATACCTGGTAGTAATAAAGAAGAATTATTAAAATTAGAGATTAGAGATTACAGGCAGAATTAACAAAGGAGATGTAAGAGTCCAGTAGTCATTTAATTTTAAAAAACAGGTATTCAATACAATTTTATGATTAACCATTTATATTTGGCTATTCTTTTTTTTTTTTTTTAATTAACAATAGGAATCCAGACACATTTTGGACCACTACAGGAATGTTTCCTCAGGAGTTCATTATTTGTTTCCACAAACATGTAAGGATTGAAAGGCTTGTAATCCAAAGTTACTTTGGTAAGCAAATCTTACGTTAATTTTTTCTTTTTTTTTTTTTTTTTTTTTTGGTGTTCCAGGTAAGGCTTATATGTTAATTTTCATTATCCTTTCATTTTTTCCACAGGCAGAAGGCATGTATGTAAACTTTTGGCAGAACACTAGTTTTTCTTTATAGCGTGGAATCCAGTTTTACTGCTGGGGTGAAAGGATGGGGATTATGGGTTAACTGCCTTGAGCCCAATTGGCCTCTCTGAAACTGCAAATTTGAAACCCTTCTAAAGCACATAATAATTTCCATGCAGTTTACTATGTGAAAGTCTTTGACAAAAGGCCTTATTAGGAACATTAGATGCCCGTTTGCCAGAACACTAAGTTCCATGACATCTTTAATCTAGATTCACTTGTCCAGGAGTTCTTTGTCTAATTCTGGTTGAAAATCTGATAACCCTGATGATTTACATTGGATAGTTGTGATTCTTCTATTACTAGTGGCATTTTCTGAGGAATTTAGGAGGAGAATCTCCCTTGGGACGTCATTCTAATCCTATTTGTCTATTTAAGAATAAAATTATCAGATAAAATCATGGCAGGAAACAGAATACATCCTAGATGGTTCAAATGAAGAGGCTCTATTGATGGGGCTACTTGCAAAATTATGGCTTGGGTTAAGGGAACAAACAAGGCAAGGAGTGATGAGGCCCTCAGTAACTAACTATAGCAGGAAGCTGTGACCAGCCCTGGGAAGGAAATAGTGTTATCAGATATCTGTGAGCTGGAGCCTGTGTGAAAGGACTTGACTAACAGGAGCCGTAGGCAGGAGAAACTGTCAAAGATGTGGCACTGAAGCAGGTAGGGAGTGGAGATAATAAAATAGGCTGATCTTACTTCCCCACACCAGTGGTGTCTCCCACTGGCCAAATCCAATAGGAAGCCAGTAGGTAAGTGAATCCAGGTAATGTAGTCCACAGAGGTTACCTTCTCATGGCACAAAACAGAACAAAGAGGAGGAGGGATGGATCTGGAGTGGTAGAGACTGGGCTGGGGACAGCGGAGAAAAGATTGTATTCCTGTTAAGTCTCTCTTTTGTCATTAATCGTGGAGGCTCTGGAGTCAGACCTAAACTTCAAATTCCGTTTCTGGCACTTAATAGCTGTATATCATTGAACACCTTGCTTGGCTCCGCAAAACCTGTTTTCTCACCAATAAAGTGGGTTAAAATATTTTTCTCATGATATTGTAGTCAAAAGTGAAGGGATAAATATGTCTGACTCATCATAGGCTTTCCATGAATTTGTGATCAAGACACCAATAGTATTATAGCCAGAACACACAAAAAAATCTGAATTAAGCCAAATTCAAAAAAAGCTCTACTTGTTTTGCATTGTATGGTTGCAAACATTTGGAAGATTAGTTACACAAGACTATATTTTACCATAGGGTTTTTTTTGGAAAACACAGAGTAACTTCCACGTTTCTGATCCCAGTGCTCTGTGTAATTCCATCGTGCATGACAATCTCAGGCAGAGGAAAAAAGAAATATAGGTACAAAAACATAGAACCAGATTAACACTTTACTCACTTTGTTTACAATGTCAGTACGGACCTTGAAGATTGAAAAGAGCACGTCTAAAGAGCCAGTTGATTTTGAGCAATGGATTGAAAAAGGTATGTGTTTCACCAGCATTGTTCTGAGCATGAAGAAGCAGATAATATTCCTTTGACTCTACATTTCCCGTCTAGCTGTACTTTGGTGAAAAAAGATGACTTTAATGATCCGGATCCTTCTGACACATTTAGGGCCCAGAAAGACCCAGGTTTGAATACAAGACTGCTTCTTCATTTACTGGTTATATAACTATTAACATGTGACTTAATTTTTCTCAGTTTCAGAATCCTTGTCAGGAAAATGGCGATGCTACCTATCATTTAAGATTTTGGTGAACTAATGTTTGGCATATAATAGACAATTAATATTAGTTTCTCATCTTCTTTCCTTTCTTCCTAATTAATGGTACCATTTAAATATCACTGTCAGAGTTCATAGCCTTTACTTAAACACAGCATCTTGCCGGGTGCGGTGGCTCAAGCCTGTAATCGCAGCACTTTGGGAGGCCGAGGCGGGCGGATCACAAGGTCAAGAGATCGAGACCATCCTGGTCAACATGGTGAAACCCCGTCTCTACTAAAAATACAAAAAATTAGCTGGGCATGGTGGCGCGTGCCTGTAATCCCAGCTACTCAAGAGGCTGAGGCAGGAGAATTGCCTGAACCCAGGGGGCGGAGGTTGCGGTGAGCCGAGATCGCACCATTGCACTCCAGCCTGGGTAACAAGAGCGAAACTCCGTCTCACAAAAAAAAAAAAAAAAGCATCTTACCTTCATGTATCTATCTCTTTTCCCTCTCAAAATATCATGAAAATAATAGTAAAGGAATAAAAAGAGGCATAAACCTACAAGGACAAATAAACAACCAGCAGACTAAAGCAAATATGAGAAATCAGTGTATATTACGATAAAGGGAAAGAAGATGGAGGAGTAGTACGTTCTTTGTTTTGTTTTGTTTTTATTTTTCTTAGGAGTAGTACCTTCTTTAGCTAAATGAACTAGGTTATAACCTAAGCTCTTACCAAGGAGCATATCAACGAGAAGCAAGCTGCTTTGCCGCACAGAACCCCAGAAAGATCTCGAACTCAAAGGCAAGAGATGCCATGGGAAGTATGAATGAGACCTGGGTCAGAAAACAAGGGTAATTAGTTGAAAATCTATATACAGAGTAGTCACACTCTAGGTACCTTCTTCCCAACCTATAAAGCTAGGTGACCACTCCCTTCTCCCACAGACCTCCACCAACACCCTCAAGAGACAACTGGAAATACAGACTGTTGAGGCTCAGGAGACCAGGTGTAGTAGACAGTGAGTGAGACATGGAGTTGAAAATAAGATACTTGTGGAAGCATACTTACTGAATAGTAGGAACACCAGCCTCCTTCCTGTATGCTGGTATTAACATCAGCAGCCAAGAATATACCCTCAGCTAGGAGATTGCAACAGTCATCTTTGAAGAAATTAAATGGCCCCAGAAAAAAGACCTATTGATACTGACAAAGGCTAGCTCATGTCTGGTTACCCTATTGAAGTCCAGTAATTAACAAGCGTGGCTCATGCACACAGTTTTCAAATGATCCACAAGTAACAAAAGACAAGAGATCACCAGACATTAATGAAGTCCTCAAACCCTTAATATAATCAAGCTTTTAGCTCTAATTTCCAATCTATAAGAAATGTCTAGGATAGAGGCACAAATTAAGTGAAACCACAAATAGGCAAGGTGATAAAATCTAGAATGTGGGGTTGGGCACAGTGGCTCATTCTTGTAATCCCAACACTTTGGGAGGCAGAAGGAGGAGGATTCCATGAGCCCAGGAGTTCAGGACTGGCCTGGGAAACGTGACAAGATGTCTCTACAAAAAAAATTTAAAAATTAGCTAGGCATGGTGACACATGCCTGTAATCGCAGCTACTTAGAGGCTGAGATGGAAGGATCACTTGAGCCTGGGAGGTTGAGGCTGCAGTAAGCTGTGATCACCCCACTGAACTTTAGCGCAGAGCAAGACCCCATCTCTAGAAAAAAAAATCTAGAATGTGAGACATTGTACAGGACAACTGTACTGATCTCTTCAGCAAGTCAAAGGCATTAAAAAAATGTGTGTGGGGGAGAGCAAGCAGTTCAAAGTTAAAAGAGACTTAATTCCGATTTTAATAAACCAAATATAAAAAGGGACAGTTCGGGAAATTTGAATAGAAATTGGGTTTCATATTACATTAAAGCACTATTTTTAATATTGTGATAGTGATATTATGGTTATATAAAGAATTATTATTTAGAAATGGATAATTAAGTATTTGGGGGAGGCTGGGCTCACGCCCATAATCCCAGCATTTTGGGAGGCTAAGGCGGGCAGATCGCTTGAGCTCAGGAATTCAAGAGACTAGCTGGGCAACGTGGAGAAATCTTCTCTCTACAAAATATATATATATATTTGCTGGTGCAATCTCGGATCACTGCAACTTCCACTTCCTAAGTTCAAGCGATTCTCCTGCCTGAGTAGCTGAGGTTATAGGCGTGCACCACAATGCCCAGTTAATTTTTGCATTTTTGGTAGAGACAGGATTTTTGCCGTGTTGGCCAGGTCTCAAACTCCTGACCTCAGATGATCCACCTGCCTCAGCTTCCCACAGTGCTGGGATTACAGGAGTGAGCCACTGCACCTGGCCTAAAATACTTTAGTGGAAAAAAAATAAATTCACTATGATGAAATGTTAGTAGTTATAAAATTTAGATTACAGGTACATGTGGGAGTTTTTTTATGTTCTCTCCTTAGTATGTTTGATATTTTGCAATTTTTTGTAACTAAAAAAACTAAGCAAATGAAAAGGTCTATTTTCTGGTGGTAGAGTTGTACAAGAAGGAAAATATGATTATAATTTATTACTTATTTCAGGAGTAAATAGCATTTAGATAGACAAAGTAGTGTAACCATCAAGTAGAATTTCAAATTTGAGAGGAGCGAAGGAGGGAGAAGTTGAAGGAGGAAGAAGAGGGGATTTCAGTTTTAAAAAGCTAAAATTTCACCTACCATAATATAAAGTCAGCAAAAAAATTATAAACAAAAAAAGGAATAAAAACATATTATAAATCCAGGGGAAATAGCTTAAAGAGTTGAAAATGTTTACTTCTAGGGAGCAGGACTAGAGGAGAAAGAAGGGGTAAAGCATATTAATGATTTCTATGATTTCAGAAAAGAGGAAACAATCACAGAGACTTCTCTTTTAATACTATGGGGCTTTTACACTATGTACATTATTTTATATAAAGTTAATTTTAAATACTGACATTAGCTGTCATTATAGCAATTAAATCTTTCATGTTTCCAAAAGAATGTTTTATATGATTAACTCATGATCAAATAAATTAGTCTGCTCTCAAATTACATAAGGAAACTTTTTTAAAACTTGGATACCAGAAGATTACTTCATGGGCCACACAATTACGCATCATAGTGAAAGTTTGCTGAGAAACTCAGCTCTAGTTGTTACCCACGGATATGGTAAAATGGCTTCTTTCTGTTAGTAGCTGGATCCTCAAATGTTCACTTCTTTTTTCTTGAAAAGGGGATTTAAAAAAATAAATGTCTTAAAAAGAAATTTTCACATTTTATCAGTTCCTTATATTCCTTTACTATCAATATGATTGACATTTGCATTTCCTTTTACTTATATACACTAGGATATTTTATAGCTCATAAATAGTTCATCTTTTTTGCCTTGTATATCCTGTGTCTCTAGTTTTAAATCAAATCTCAACATGCAAATGATGATTTGATGATTCCTTCAAATCTGGTCTTATAGTTTACCAGATATCATATTTTGCTGAACATAAATTTCAGTAACTATTCTCATGTATTTTGACCTTTAACTCCATTTCTTCTGTTACATTTGTGTTTTAGATTTGGTACACACAGAGGGGCAGCTTCAAAATGAAGAAATTATGGTAAGTAAATATACTTCATAGAATTAAAAGTCAACCTGCACAGTGTATTTAAGACTTGAAACCTATCTCCATAGTCATAGTTAATAAATATCTTTATAATATTATAGGTTCTGTACCTAAATCAACCCCTAGAGAAAGTTGTTCTTAATATAAGTTAAATGTACATTCATAAATTAGGATCTTTCATAGAGAGTGACAGCAAGATAAAACAATTCATTTTTTGTTTTATTTTTCTCATTCATTTACTTTGAAGTATTTATTTGGTTTGCCTTCTTTCATTTGATTCCATAGGCATTTTAGAATAGGAATCAAAAAAAGGTCGAGATGCCAAAATTGGATGTTAATTTAAGCATGAAAGGACAAGGGAGATTCAGATAAGGGGAACTGGAGCATAGAATCAGCAACAAATAAGCCAAAGAGAGATGAGATGGACAGAGAACCAGTGTTTTTCGATAACATTCCATCAGGCTTTGCTTGTCAAGTGAAATGAATGCCTGTTGATGAGGAAGCTGCTGCCTCATCAGGAGTTCCTCCATTCCTGCTAGTTGGTTAGACCCTGGTTTTAGACAAACACAAAAAGTAAAACAACTGAATTTCTACTTATTAGGTGGGCACGATTTGTTTAATTAAGGTTTCTCTAAATGAGGGTTAAAATGGTACCTTATTCATTAAGTTTTATTTCTTCACAAATTGCCGGAAGCTGCTGTTAAATCGTTGCATCCCATTAGTTTCTTTCTCTCCCCCGAAAATTCACCCAATAACTGGGGAAGCCATTGAAGTCCTGAAAAATGATTAATGATACTGAATTTTATCTTTCTGGTTTTTTTTTTATCTTTCTGGTTTTTTTTCTTTATGGGTTCTGATTAGTAAGCTCCTGCTACTTTTTGCATATTGTTTCAGGACTCCACTGTGGAGGGTCACAGCATTATAGAAAATTTGGAAAATAGTAAGGGGGAATGGGAAGCTGAAAATCACCCATAATTTTATTACCCTGGCCAGGCACAGTGGCTCACACCTGTAATCCCAGCACTTTGGGAGAACGAGGTGGGTGGATCATTAGGTCAGAAGTTCAAGACCAGCCTACCCAAGATGGTGAAACCCTGTCTGTATGAAAAATACAAACATTAGCCAGGCGTGGTGGCGGGCCCCTGTAATCCCAGCTACCTGGGAGGCCGAGGCAGAGAATTGCTTGAACCCAGGAGGCGGAGGTTGCAGTGAGCTGAGATTGCGCCACTGCACTCCAGCCTAGGCGACAGAGTGAGACTCTGTCTCAAAAAAAAAATAAGTGTTATTACCCTGTCACAAAAGCTTTTACCACATTTATTTTCCTCTAGTTGTTGACCGTATACTGTACATAGTTAGAATAATGATGTATGGACAATTTTATGTCATTTTTTTTTACTTAGTAGTATTATATAACAGGCTTCATAAGTACAGTTTTAAAATAACATTTGCCAATTGGCATGCATTTAAACTAATTTTCTTTTTCCTCCCTCTGTCATAATAAGTAATACACACGTTTCTTCTTTCTAAGATTAAATTTCAAGGAATACAATTACTGGATACCAGGGTATAAACATATTTATAGCTTTAAAATACATTGGCTAATTGCTTTCCAGAGAAAATATATAAATATAAAAATGTAGTCATGCTTCATGGTAGTATATTCAGAGGTAACGCTAACCAGAGGAAACTTCTTTATTATGAAAAATACTTTAGAAAGATACTTTTAAAAAATTAGAAACTGGGCATGGTAGTTCATGCCTGTAATCCCAGCACCTGGGAAGCTGGAGCAGGAGTGTTGCTTGATGCTAGTTCAAGACCAGCCTTGGCAATACACGAGACCCTGTCCCTACAAAAAATGACAGTTGCAGTTTTTAGCTTCACTTGCTATTTTTCATCAAATCAAGGCTGGTATTTAGCTGATATGTACCACAACTATTATATGTAGCTGGCCTTATATATTGTTATATATTTAGAATATTACTCTTGATCAAGCCCTTTCTTCTGTTAACTGCTTGTTAACAGTTAACTAGCATTGCTAAAAGCATTTATATTGATTTTTTCCCCCTACAGGCACGTGATGGCTCCGCTACTTATTTGAGATTCATTATTGTATCAGCCTTTGATCATTTTGCATCTGTACATAGCGTTTCTGCAGAGGGAACAGTAGTTTCAAATCTTTCCTAGTAATTATTACAAAATGCTCTTACATGATTTTTTAACAACACATTTATTTAAACAGGAAGCTGTCATTGATATACTTTATTAAAAGGATTTGTATCAATTTGTTTCCATTTTTATTTACATCTTTTCGATATTTGGGGTAAAGGAATTCCGTTTTTATCAGTCAGCAGTACTGGCCACCATGCAGGAAATGAGGAAGCTTTGGCTTCAGTATATAGTTTAATCAAGGAAGTGACTGCACATGAAAATTTAATGGGTAACACATTTCGTCTTCACAGCATCCACTATAGTGCTCTTCAGATCATTGTGCATTAATTTTTTTAATTGATTGATTGATGCAAAGGGCTAAGTGAGCAATATAGATAGTAAACAATGTAAGAGGTCAGAAAAGAGAAAGTACTTATGGGAAGGTTTCGCTGAAGTCATGGAACCTGAGCTGGGCCTAGTAAAACAAATGATTTTATTTTTTCTTTCAAAATCATTTGGAATGGCCAATTCCAATTTGTAAAAAAAAAAAAAAAATTTAAGTAGGGTCTGGCTGTCACCCAGGCTATAGTGCAGTGGCTCAATCTTGGCTCATTACAACCTTCATCCCCTGGACTCAAACCATCCTCCCACCCTAGCTTCCCAAGTAGCTAGGACTACAAGTACATAACACCACAACTGGCTAATTTTTCTATTTTTATAGAGAAGGGGTTTCACCATGTTGCCCAGGCTGGTCTTGAACTCCTGAGCTCAAGCAATCTGCTCACCTTGGCCTCCCAAAGTGCTGGGATTACAGGCATGAACCACTGCACCCATCCTTTACTTTTATTTGTTCTGGTTTGAAAACTTCAGAGAAATGTTAGGAAACATATAATCTTACTTTTTGTTGTTTTTGAGACAAGGTCTTGCTCTGTCACCCAGGCTGGAGTAAAGGCTGATCTCAAACTCCTGGGCTCAAGCAATCTGCCCATCTCAGCCTCCCAAAGCATTGGGATTACAGGCATGAACCACCACACACGGCCCTCTTTCTCTTTTTTGAGAATACTATTTAAGTCCACTGAAAAGATCTAGAAGCAGTGACATCCAAATATCAGTGAGCACATCGAGTATCCAGATTGTGATCTCTAAATACCTTTCACATTAATTGGAGGAATGGACAATTCCGAAAGTGTGACAAGAAATAAATAAGATGAGCCTGGGACATTTTGTTGTGCCAGAAAGTAGAGACTAATGGATAATGTCAAGAGGATACAGAAACCAATATGAAAGCACTCTTATTAGCAAAAAAAAAAAAAAAGGCGGGGGGCAATTTGAGCAGGGGAAAAAATTTACAGTTGACTGCAACCATACTTAATATATTTAAAAGTGAATTCATATTGATAGAAGAGAAGAAATAAAAGAGCAAAACAAAACCCTCATTGGTTACCATGGGATGTGACTAGGGCAAAATTTCTCATTTGAGTATTTATATTTAAAAGGAAAGAATTGGGCATCTGTCAGGTACAGACTATATTTGAGAGTTACTAAATAACCCTAGGAGATGTGAGAAAGTGCTTTGCAGAAGAATTCCTGCTCATTAATGTGGAAGATATAATAGAATTAGAAAATCAGCATTAGTCCAGGCATGGTGGCCCACACCTATAATCCCAGCACTTTGGGAGGCCAAGGCAGGAGGATCTCTTAAGCTCAGAAGCTCATATCTACAAAAAAAAAAAATTTAAGTAACAAAACCAGGCAGAGTGGTATGTGCCTATAGTCTTAGCCGCTTTGGAGGCTAATAGGGTGGGAGGTTTGCTTGAGCCCTGAAGAGTGCAGTAAGCCATGACTGTGCAACTGCACTCCAGCCTGGGTGACAGAGGAAAACACTCACACACACAAAAAAAAGAAAAATTATCATTGATTTGCATGAAATTAAACATTGATAAAGGCAACAGTCAGTGGATTAGCATTAATTGAAAGATTGATGGGGAACTTTGCAATGCAGGGATCTGAGTCTATTGATTTACTAAAAATGGATTAACCAGTGTATCAGCTTTTGCTCTATTACAAACGACTTCAAAGAATAATGGCTTAACGAAACAATTTCATTTGCTTACAATTCTGTGGATCTACTGGCAGTTTTTTTCTGGCTTCTGCTTGCTTTGCTCTATCTGTGGTCAGCTGGCACCTCCTATGGTCTAGATAGTGTAGGATGACTTCACTCACATGTTTTAAGGTTTGCAGATTAGGGGTCTAGGTGGCCTTCACTGGAACTATTCATCTCTGTTCCAAGTTGTTTCTTGTCCTCCAGGGGGCTAACCCAGGCCTCAGCATTCTGAAAAGTAGCAAAGAGGGAAATCCCCAGTGTGCAAAGTTTTCTTTTTCTTCTGCTATCTCTAAATACAGTGCAAACGATTTTTGAGTCTCTGTTTGCCACCAGATTTGCTGTTGTCTGTCAAATCATGTCATGTGGCCAAGCCCAGAGTGAGAACAAGAGGTATCCGCCCAAGGGCATGAATACAAGGAAGTATGAAAAAATTGGGGCCAGCCAGGAGCAGTGGCTCACACCTGTAATCCCAGCACTTTGGGAGGCTGAGGCAGGCAATCCACCTGAGGTCAGGGCTTCAAGACGAGCCTTGGCCAACATGGTGAAACCCCGTCTTCACTAAAAATATAAAAATTAGCCAGGAGTGGTGGCATGTGCTTGTAGTCCCACCTACTTGGGAGGCTGAGGCAGGAGAATCGCTTGAACCTGGTGGGTGGAGGTTGCGGTGAGTGGAGATCACGCCATTGCAGTCCAGCCTGGGCAACAAGTGTGAAACTAAATCTCAAAAAAGAAAAAATTGGCTGGGGTGAGAGGGAGCCATTACTGCTACAATCTACTAGAATCAAACACAGTATGCTTCCTGATGTGATTTTATTTTTATTCTTTTTTTTTTTTTTTTTTTAACTTTTTGAGACAGAGTTTCTCTCTTGTTGCCCAGGCTGGAGTGCAATGGCACGAACTTGGCTCACTGCAACCTCCGCCTCCCAGGTTTATGCGATTCTCCTGCCTCAGCCCCCTGAGTAGCTGGGATTACAGGCATGTGCCACCACGCATGGCTAATTTTGTATTTTCAGTAGAGATGAGGTTTCTCCATGTTGGTCAGGCTGGTCACAAACTCCTGACCTGAGGTTATCCACCCACCTCAGTCTCCCAAGGTGCTGGAATTACAGGCATGAGCCACCATGCCCGGCCTCAGACGTGATTTTATGTAAAGCACATAGACCAAACTATGAAGTAGTCCTGCCAAAATTATTGAACCTGAATTTAATCAAACTCTGGAGACAGCTTCCATTTTCAGGAATCTCAAGAGCTAGAGGAACAAGTAAAGTGACACTGCAAGGCATCAAATACACTAGTGGCCATTAATGCAGCTTACTGAACTGTCTAGATCTGTGCTTTTCCTGGACATGGCAAGATAGTACTTCCTGGCATTAATTTAGGTAAGTGCCATGTGACCAGTTCTGGCCAATGAGATGAAGAATAATTGACTTCTAGGCTGAGGCATTTAGTTGCCTATGTGAGACCCTTCAGGGCTCTTTTCCTCCTGTGCCATAGTTGACCAACAATGTTGTACACAGTTAACTACTTCATCAGTCTGGGTCTGGAAGTGAGACTGATGTTTAACGGGTAGCAGGGCTCCCCAGATCTTTCCTAGTAATTACAACAAAATGCTCTTGCATGGTATTTTAACAATATATTTAAACAGGAAATTGTAACTGATATACTTTATTTAAAGGATTTGTATCAATTTCAGTTTTTATTTATATTCTTCTCAATATTTTGGGTAAAGGAATTCTGTTTTTATCAGCCAACAGTAGCTCAATCAGAGATGGGTATATTGAAGGAATGAGAAATTAAGCTTCATTGTTTTAAGCCAATAAGATTTTGGAATTGCTTATTGCCACAATATAACCCAGCCTATCCTAACTGATAGACAAGTCTAGAATGTGGCTCATCCTACAGGGCAAGTGACCTGGTTTCTTCAAAAAGTCAGTGGCATAAAAATATTAAGGAAAGGGGCCCACTCTAGATTCAAGGAGATCTAAGAGCTCCTATAACCACATGCCATGTGTGGATCATGATGGATGCTGATTTGAATAGACAAACTGAAAAATGACTTTTTTTTTTTTTTTTGAGACAGGTTTACTCTTGTCTCCTAGGCTGGAGTGCAGTGGTACAATCTCAGCTCACTGCAACCTCCGCCTCCTGGGTTCAAGCAATTCTCCTGCCTCAGCCTCCTGAGTAGCTGGGATTACAGGCACCTGCCACCATGCCTAGCTAATTTGTGTATTTTTAGTAGAGACAGGGGTCACACCATGGTGGCCAAGCTGGTCTCAAACTCCTGACCTCAGGTGATCCATCTACCTCAGCCTCCCAAAGTGCTGGGATTACAGGCATGAGCTACTGCGCCCAGCCAAAAAAGGGCATTTTTAAGATAATTGAGGGCATTTTCTTGTAGACTGAGTGTTATTCATTTTACTATGTGTGATACTGGCTTTAAGCTTATATAGTAAAATGTATAAGCTTAAATCCATATAGAACTATGAATGACTGAAAGGCATATAAAGCATATGAGATGCATATAGAACTATGGATGAAATGTGTATATGCACAAGATACATATAGAACTATGGATGACCGAAATGGCTTAATAATCTGGGATTTGCTTAATATAATATTTAAGTAGAGACTTTATAAAAGGAAAGGGGATTAGTTGAAGAAGTAAATGTGGCAATAAATTATTGAATCTGGGTGATAGATATATGGAGGTTGATTGTACTAGTATTTCTACTTTGTACTTTCCACTTTTGCATATGCTTTAAATTCTTCATAATAAAAAATAAATGCTCCTACCAAGGACATCCTTGTGCATAAATCTTTGTCTGCCCTTCAAATGATTTCCTTAGATGAGATTCTCAGAAGGGAATTAATCAAAGTTAGCAACAGTTTTAAGGCTCTTGGTACTTACTGATAAATTGCCTACTAAGATTTGTTTCACAGATTTAGTCTTGGAAAAGCAGGGATTTCTTTCTTTCTTGTTTGTTTGTTTGAATGGAGTCTCATTCTTTTGCCCAGGCTGGAGTGCAGTG